CTTATTCATGAACATTTATTATAAATGTCATGCATGTATTTGATTCATATTATTATATATAGTAAATAGTTGACAATTTGTGGTATATCTATCGAAATGTAATAGTGGTAATAATTTTAATTAATTTTATATTTCTCTGTTTATTTATTATAGTTATCTTGTTTAGAAATGAATGATGTTAATGCAGGATATTTAATTTGTTTAAAACGTGGTTTTTGTTCATGATAGCTAAAAAATAGATGATTAATTATATGAAATACTTAAATGCAATAGTAATGTAATATATATATATATATAATATACATAAATTTTTTTCTAATCACTATCATATAAAAAATTTAAATTTAAATTGCAAAGAATTTTTTTGATTAAAAAGCAATTTGAAATTGTATTTTTTCAGCTTTTCATATTTTGCATATTTACAATATTTTATTAATTAATTAGTAATTTTTCTTAATATAAGAAATAAATAAAAAAATAAGATTATTTGGTCTAGAAATTTATACTAAAATTATGTAGAAGCAAGTAAAAAAAATTAGAATTTTTTTGTCAAAAATTAAAATAAATCATTGTAAAAAAAAATATTTTTTTTAGAAATATTTGTAAATATGTAATCTAATTTGAGCGCATTTTATAAAAACAATGTAAATATGTTATAAAAAGAATATTATTTACTAAATTTTTTTTTAATCTTTTTCTTCATTATCATAGGACTATTTATAAATACTTATATACTTATAACTTCTTGCAATTTCATACTTTTTTAAAAATATATAAGTACAATAAACAATGTAATTGACTGGTATTTTGTTAAATATGAATACATAGTCTTATTAATAATAATAAAATATTTTATATGATAAATGTAAACCAATTTAAATTTTATTCAAATTTTCCTATTTTTCTAAATTATAACTTACTTTATTTTATGAAGATATATTTCTTTTATTAAATATTTTTATTAGTACATTATAATTAAATCTAAGATATAATTATTTGTTGGAAATTATTAATATCTGAAGGTTACTTTAAAAATTAGAAACACATTTTGCAAGCGTGATGGCGTTTATTATTAATAAACAATTTATTTAACAGGACCTTGATGTACACGAGAAAGAAGTATTCACGTTGTTTATTTATGCTTTTTTTTTAATATGTATGTAAATATGTAATATGTTTAATTTACGATTTAAAATTTCAAGTTAGGAATGAACCTTTCAATGTTCTATAATTTTTTGTTATATATTTGCATATAGATTTTGTAATATTGTATAAACATTTATTAATTTATATTTCTTTTAGATTTTTCGAATATTTGTAAAATATATAAGCTATAACATATTTCTTATAAACATTTCATTGGTATTAATTAAATAATAAAATATAATGAGAAAAAAGAAATATTGATAAACAAAAAAAAGAAACTGATAGTTTATAATGCAATTAACAAAAAGAAAATCTAAAATTTGTTTGAAAAATTTGTTTTAACAAATTTGTAAAATAAGAAGAAAAAATATAATAATCTTGCTCTTTGCATATATATAATAAAATAATAAAATTTTTTTAATATTTTACGCATTGCATCTTAATACATGGATAATACATGTATATAATAAATTTTAAAAATTTTCTTTTAAAATAGAAATTTTTTTTAAGTTATAATATTGCAAAATAAAAATGAAATATTAATGATATAACAAATCATGAGACAATATGCGAAATATAATATATAAAATATACATTATATTCTTAGTATATTAATTATAAAAATTTATAGAAGATAAGCAAATAATTTAAGACAATCAAATATTGAACTTAATTTTATATCAAAAGATTTTTATTATTATTATTTTTGGTCCATTCCTACTTTTTTAATTATTTTAGAGCTTGCATTTCAATCAATTGATGCAATAGATTTTGAGGTCTATTCTCATATATTAAAACAGTGAAAATATTCACATGTTTTGAATTTCTATATTTTTATTTATATTATAAGTATATAATTTATCCAGTATTTTTGAAATTGTTAATTAAATTGGTAAATTTACATCTTTTACTACTTTCTGACTACTTAAAAAAATATATGGAATATTAATTTTTTTTTCATAATATTAAAGTTTTTAAATCATAAGTATATTCAATAAGAAGTATAGATTGCGCAAAAATTCATAAAAGATAAAAAAACAATATTTTAAATAAGTTTACGGATCGAGCACTAAGTTTTTTCAATGCAAGCTCTAATTTTTTTATTTAATTATTTCTGGCAAATGTATTTATCTATGTATTTGTTTAAGAGTTTTTTTGTATTGTGTGTCCGTGTTTATTTTTTTGAATTAATTCATAATTTTCGGTATACAAGTATGAAGTAGGAGGCTGGGCACCGCCCACCGAATTATCACAGTCGTCTGGTGCCGCAGCACATACGTATACGTGGTTCAGCCTTATAACCTACCTCTTAATCTATCATTATTTTATAATTATACTTAGTTAAGAGTGTACAGTATAGTCCCCGTACTAGGTGATTGACGCGATACGAACTGATCCTTAGTTCTATTCTTTTACGTAGAGTGTGAATTTATTGCTGGTACTTGTAAATACAAACGACCTAATCGAGTACGAGCAATTGTAGATTTTTTCATTAATTGTTGCTCCTATTAAAGATGAAAACAAAGTAGAAAATAACATTAAATAATATTCTTTCAAATTAATTTTTTCATTGATTTTTTTGTTTTCTTTTTTTCATAACTTTATCTACAATCGTTCGACCTACTTTTTTTTTTTTTACTTACATCACTACACCGTATAAGGAGCTATACTGTATAATGAAAGCTGTCTTCAATTGATGATATCGTTTTACTAAGCCTCGATCAACTTGTTTCTTTCTTCTAAAACTTTTTTAACAGTTTCAAGCAGTTTCAACTATCAGAGTAGAAATCGATTTGTATCGTACAATGCTCAGAAAAAGCTCGTAAGCTACTAATGGAAGCACCTTGTGCCTGTTCGGCTATATACATCAATTACATTTCGGAATAAATATAAAATTCCAATTAATAGCAAAATAAATCTGATTTAAATAATAGAACTTATAACTTTTTTTTCTTCTTAACCGATCAAAAATCATTTAAATTTTTATATATTTGTAATTAAGTATATATTTGCTATTTTCTCATCATTGCATCCGTAAAATTTAATTTTATTATTTTGTTATATTCTTTTAATAAGAGATCAATGATCAAAAATCTACTATGTATGCAGACAATTCTCTAATTGTTTCAATCAATGGATTAGCGTTCATTTATTAGCCATATGACTATAGATTATAAATTTGACTATAGATTATAAATTTCTTAGATACATGTAATGGTCACGTTAGAAATCAAGAGAGTGCTGTATACTAACACTGATATCGATATAGTTTATTAAAATATTCTGAATTCATTGCAAACGAATAATATTTTCTTTTTCTTTAAATTCTTGAATTTAAATAACACTTATTGATTTCGTCTTAACATATTTTATAAATTTGTAGAATATAATTAAATATACAAATATAGTTTTCATTGTGGCTGTAAACAATAAAAGTACAATAACGATCATTTTTAAATAGATTGAAAGAACAGTAAAAGAAATGTGAAAATTATTGTTAATCGTTTTCTTAGGCAATTACATTTTTATATGTTTAAATTATTATGATTATTTAAAAAATGCTTGCTTTTTTTTAGAATAGTACTTCGAAGGCAGTCAAAGATCTGAGAAGCATATTTGAACAATGTTGAAAATGTGATGGACGGAACGCTTGGAAATAATTAAAGAACAATCGAAGACAAGTATATAGGAAGAGCATATATATATATACATGATTAATTATCATGAAATTTAAAACAATTTCCATTGATTTTTTAATTAAAAATTACATCTTGCTAAGTATTCAGCACTCGCGATCTGGAGGACACTGTCAGTAAAACGCAACCAATCATATGCAGACAGCGAATGTATGAACACTTACATCCCTAAGGTGGCATGTGTCGAGGAGCTTTAGACTTTTTTCTCTGCTGTTATAAGAGAGTTATTATTAATCATATTCTTCTTCATTTTTTCCTCTTGTTTTCTTCTTGGACAATCGCACTAATGTCATTTTCCTTTATTTCTAATAGTTCTTGTATATTGTATATATACAGCAGTACCACACTTGTTCAACTGCGATACACGCATTTTTTTTAAAGACGACACTTAGAGTTTAAAAATATAATCATCATATATTTAAAGTAGCATTATATTATCATTGTTGTTGTTATCGTTATTAGTCGTAATAGTATTATTATTAATAATAATATTATTGTTATTGTTATTATTATTATTATTATTATTATTATTATTATTATTATTATTATTATTATTATCTTGGAGGGATAGCACTTCGCTATGTCACGACACTGCAGAGCTGAACAAAGACTAAACGCGGAAGTTACCACGCTCTTTAATGGCACGAAGAGTACAAGACTGAGATTGTTACCGTCTTATTGACCGATCATCATAATCATTTATTTATTCATTATGATTTTTTGAAGTTAAATTTTTCTTTCGTTTTTTGATAATTGGCGATCGATCACAAAAACATATCTCGTCTATTTTAAATGTAGTAGCACAATATCATCATAGCTTATTTTAATTAGGAAGGGTTGAGAACGACCGTTCATTGTCGTTATTAAGATTTCTATATTATACATAGTCTCATATGGACGATTTCGATAACGCTATAGAAAGTACTAAGTATATACAGAAATATTTTTATTTCTGTCAGAACTATTCAAAAGTTAAGTTAACTATATGAGGCTCATTGAACCAATAAATAGTCAGACGATGATCTTCATTTTTTACTTAAAATTCTATTAGTCTTCCGTTCATAAATCCATCCAGAATTTATAAAATAAATGTTAATTAATAAAAATTGTTATTTTCTTTTTTTTTTGTAGAAATTATGGTTTGTAATCATGTACTGCTCTTGTTCTGTTTTTTTTTTATTATTGTTAAACATTGAAAGACGTTTGCTGTCAAGAAAACGCATTTCGAAAGAAATAAAGTCTTGATATAAAAATATATAAACATTAACGTTGAGTTTTTTGTTGTCACCTTAGATTTAACTTTTTTTTTTATCATTAAATGAGTGAAACATTTGTTCATACTCTACACCATAGAAAAGAATGTACATATTACAGGCAAATATGTTTGTTACGACCTCTAACAATCTCTCATAGTGCAAATATTCAAGTTCTTTTCGAAAAATAATTTGTTCCTATAAATTATTGATATAAGAACCACGCTTTAATTAAAATTAATTAATTAAAAGATGTTCAACAAATATCGTAGATCTATGGTTTAATAAATGATACAAATGATAACTTATACTACACATGTAGTATTTTCATTCGTTATCCTAAATTATATTATGCAAATTAACAATCGTTAAAAAGAAACAATCGCGAAAAACAAAGAACTATTTTAGGGGAAAAATTGCTACAATGTAGCTTATTCATCAACGACTCAATAAAACTGATTAAATAACAATCCTAAGTTTCATTATATTCAAAATTTGCTTTCTAAATCGATTAATGAATTTCTTTTTCATATCATGATCATATTGTTCTTACGGATAGTAGGAGAAAAAGAAAAGGAAAAAAGAAGAGAACATATTTCATAATCGAATTATACAATATTTCTTTTCAATCTTTCTCGGACCGTAGTTAATGAATAATGACGCTTAAAAACGCTAAGATACTCCATGGATAGAAAAGGAGATCGAAACTATCGGATCCGACAAGAGAGCGTGATAACCTCGACCAATAATACCCTTGATTTTCGCGAGAATAATTACGTATTTGACAGTTAAAGCGAAATCTATTCTCGAATACCTTAATACTGTAATGAGCAACTGGATTTGAAGGTACCGTAAAGAGATTGATGTTTCGATGATCGACAGAGGTCAGTGAAGATCATCTTCATCGCTATCATTACCATCTTTCGATCTATCGGCACCTCCCTCACCGTCGCTGGAGCCTGAATCGCTCCCAGAGTCTTCAGATTGCCAGCCGCCTCCTTGCTGTTGTTGTACATGTTGATGTTGCACCACGTGCTTTGATACTTTGTGACGTTTTCCAGCACGTTGCACCGAATCTGCCCCGGCACCATCGAGCATTGGCTGAAGAATTCGTCGACGAGCATTGATGAACCAGTTGTTAACTTGTAATAACGTTAAGTTCGTTTGACTTGCAATTTGACGTTTCTCATCCTCCGTGGGATATGGATGCTATATGGAATAATGAATGTAAATATTTTTTTTTTTTTATTTTATTCTACAATGTAACAGAAGTAACTAGTATAGCACAATTTCGTTATATTAGTTGGAGAAGATATGATTATAAATTGTAAAGATACAATTATAAATTGAATTAATGATTAAATAAAAATTATACTTACAACTAAATGTTCAAAAAGCCAAGTTCGCATAATGCTCGTAGCTTGTTTAGGTAAGACACCTCGTTTTTGTCTTCCTTTTTTAACGCTACTATGATTACCTCCATGACTACTACTGTGATTGGAAGTAGCAGTACCAGTGCCACATACTTCGTCTTCATCTTCGCTTGGTGCAGGTGAAGGAGAACCCGCCACAGTGATATCTAAGCATAATAAACACGATATATTTATTATGGTAAAAGAACATATTTCACACAAAAATGATATTTCTCTCATTAATTTTAGATTATTAGTTTAATTCACATTTTTAATTAGTAATTAATATTCAAGTGAAAACATTAGTCATTGGTAAGGAAGAACCAAGTTCATCTAACCAAAATACTTTTCATCATTCGCATCTCCGACATCGACGTATTCATTTTCACGCTCTTGTAAAGCAAGAAGGCCCCAATAGCCAGCCTCTTCTAAATATATTCTGTCGCCAATATTCACATAGTCCATATCATCTATAATCGTAAGTTGATAATTCTTACGTTTAAATCAACATCTTTAATTTTCTTTTTTAAGCTCAACAATTTTTGGCGTTACAATCAAAAATTATTCAAAAATTTATTCAAAAAATTATTCAAAAATGTTATAATTAATTATCAAATAATCTGTATTGACCTTTTTCTGAAGCGTCCCTAATTGTAAAATCTTATTTGAACAAACTATGCAAAATAACTAAAGGAATTTCCAATCATCCAACATCTAATGTAAGATCAAGAATAATTCCAAACACTGAAGAAAGAATAAAGAAAAAATTAATAAAAAGAAGAATCAACAGTTTAAAAAAATTACTTATTAATTGTAAAAAATCAAAAGTATTAATAAACCTACCTTGACCAAGATACATATCGTTGACTGGCGCACAGGAATGAGCACCGATCTGCGAAAGGGGTGTACTTCCATGCACCGTAGAAGGTGATAGAGGATCGTCATGGTCTTGACTGGAGGATCTGTTCGAGCGTTGAGCAGTGGAAGATGATCGCACCGACGACGGCCTGTCGTTACCGGTTTCCTCTTGCGCAGCCAACTGACTCGCACCACCGTTCTCCGACAGGATATCACCTCTGCTCACTCTGAATCCGTTAGCTCCCGACTCAACATCATTGCCTGTAGAAGACAGCACCTGGGAAATATATGTCGCAACTAGCCGTCAGAGAGCAGGGGTGGGGTTCTATAATATTTTGAGCGATGCGCAAGTATCACTCATTTTTTTTTCTTTTAAAATAATTATTTTAAAAGTAAATATTTTAAAATTAATTGTCTGATCCAAGTACATGTCAAATTTACTATTAGCATTGTTTTGATTAATGATTTATATATATATATATATATATATATATATATATAAATCACTTAGAAACTGTTCTTATCTAAATTTACAACATGCTGTTAATTTTGAAATAATTTAGTGAAATTTTAAGAGACAGAAAAGAGTTGGAAAACATTTAGTTTTTTACATAGGTATTGAACAATTTGAGAATTTATAAACCTATTATATATGGCATATAACAGTTATGTATTTACACAAATACTAATATATAAAAACTAAATATTTTTTTTTTACTACTTGTTATCATTAGAATCATCAAAATTTCCCCCTCAATTAATATTTTATTAACTACCATTAAACACAAAACTTAGATCAGAATATTTACAAGAGTTAATCAATAACTAATTCAAGCAATATTTCTATTCTTATTTTATAATTTGATACTCCATCTTGTTATTTTAAAAATGTAACTTCTATACAAGGTAGTAATGTTAATAAAAAGAAAACTTAGATTTAGTTACAGTTTCAACTTAAAGAATTAAAACAGAGGCAAAGATAGCGTTTCGAGATTATATTCGCGATTCTTGCGCATTACTAAAAAAAGGATAACTACTTAGGTAAAGGGGGAAACAGGCTAGGCCGTTTTACACGTTCAAAATAATATCTAACCTGCAAAGGACTGCTCCCGTTGCTGCCACTCGATGGACCCATGTCGTGTCCATGGTGACTGTAATCGCTGCGTAGCAGATTCTCGCTTTGCATCTTGCCCTTCAGGCATGTGATATATCTGTTGCAAAAGTCCTTGCACAGTTCCTGCACCTTTTCCAGTTCGAGTAGATGAATTCGTAGCACCTGTATCGCCTTGATCATCTACGTTGGCAGGGGCACAAAACAATATAGACGAGTGAACGATTTTCTTTTCATATCGAACTGCGTAGCATCGCTTATTACCTTTTCTTTGTTTTACAAAAATTCGATTCTTTTTTTTAAATTTAAATAATTTTCTTAACGTCTTTAATTTTAAAAAATTTTTAATTTTTGCACATAATTCTGAATTGGATATATATATAATAAATTTTTTTCCAAAAATATAAATATAAATAAATATATATATTTTGTATGTAATAAATTGAATTTTTAATGATAAATAATTTGTTATTAATATCTTAATATCTAATGATCTTTTTACTCTATTTTCTATTTTTCTTTTAAAAAACTTTATTGTTGTTATTGCTTTAAATTCAGTTTTTAAAAAAATTTCATTGAGTTATACAGTTGCAATACAAATGCAAATTATAATATAAATATTTTAAAATTAAATTATTTAAAAGACTCACTAAACCGTCAATTTCGGGGTCATTGATCAGAAATGGCTTTCGGTCTCTTTCTTGGTGTTGGACGAAGGCCTGTATGTCCATGTTGAAACTTTCGGACGTTGAATTGTCCGAGCTCTGAGTAGCTTGTTCGCATCTTTCGAAAAGTAACGCGAGCAATGGAAAGAGGGGATGTTTGTATACTGCCCTCTTGTCTGCTTCGAATTGAGCCTGATCTTGATGAGTTGTGTAATCGGCAACCCCACTTGCAGGGTCCTGATCGTAGCCAGGAGTCACCATTGCTAGCGCCACGGCGGTGCTACCCTCTTGCATTCTGCATTAATATAATCAAATTATTATCTTTTTCTTTCCGTTATCAAAATTAAATTTTTCTATATAGAAAACTTCATAAAACTTGTATACCTATCATTCCTGTCTAGCAGCTTCCATCGTTGCTCAGCCCCTCCGAAGTCTCTTATATTTGAATGCTCTTTGATTTATTTTCGATCTTCCGATAATTTACAAAATTATACTAAAACAAGAAAGAAATGAAAAATTTATATTATAAAATTAAATTTCTGTTTCTAATTTGAAAATAAAATATATTATAAAAATAATAGGATAAAAATATCGTATATTTTATAAAATATTCTTGCGTATTTCGAGTAGAGATGAGCCAGAGAGCGAAGGGAAAAAAAGAAAGAGACGGGGAAGGAGGGAATCGTCGTGGCACGAAGAACCAAACGATGCGCGGCACTGCATTTAAATGTCATCGTTAGACGGTCTCAACACCATCAGCACTGTTGCTGGCACTAGTTCTGCTTCCCATTCCGAACGTTCCTTTTGAATTTCCCCCAATCCCCATACACGTTCCCTCGGTATGAATAAATAAAATACTGCAACACACCACAGGCTGACAAGACGATAGTCGAAAAATCGTAGTTACGAGCAATGCGGGGGAAAAAAAAAGTGCTAATAATTGAATTAGGATAATATAATTATCCGGGTCAACTTTTACTGTAAAAAGTCATGGTTATATCATTTATATATATATATATTGTCTTATTCAAAGGAATTCTTGAAAAATAATCTTTTTTTTTTCTTTTTAAGAAAAATATTTTGAGAAGGTTATATCTGGATTTTATAGCAGGAACAGTAATTATTTTAAGATAAGATTAATTATATGTTATATAAAATGATATTGAAATTGTACTTTATATAATAAAACTAATATATATCATATTTGTAATAATTTTTGTTTATAGTTTAAGAAGTATGATATAAAAAAAATTGTTTTTAATTTTTCTAACAAAGAAAAAATAAATTTTCTATTAATAGACAACAATTATAGATAATAAAAATAAAAAATTAAATATTTTATATACACTTTAGTCTTACACAGAAATATGTAATATTTGTTTTATAAAAATTTACTTAGTATATAATTTTTAAATCTAAAACTAATAAAAAGAATACGCAAAGAATATACGCAACAAAAGAATTGCATTCTTTTTCAAGTAATGAAAAAAATCGTACTCGTGACATTTTATCAAAACTTCTTGTGATGGAATAGTGTATCAGAAGATGAGTGAGCGAAAGTATCGATATACAAGAAGAGTTAGATATATTAAAGGGAATACCACGAGGTGGCGTCTGAAGCGATAGAAAAAGGAGCTGAACAGAGGTACCATTACTTGCAAGTGGTGCTTTGAACACACTCGCGTCTTTCCGTTAAACCCGATATTTATTGTGCCAGTCGCCTCTCTCATCGCTTTCATTTAAAAATATTATCGCTGACGGTGAATGGTCAGTATGGTTCATTTTCACGACAGTATCTACACATCGAAACAGCCTTAATGCATTTAAACTTGTTTTTTCCTTTCCTTCTTCATATATTTTTTCTATTTCATTCATATAACGAATTTGAACTTTTATTTAAATATTTATAATAATTATAATTTTTTTATAGATATATATTTATACTATTATTGCTAATACTAGAAAATAAAATTATATATTATTATTCTTTTAAATATTTTCCATGATAATAATATTGTGTTCTACCAACCGTATTTATCGTTCATCAGGAATTTTAACTATCGTTTTGTTATTTCTTTAATTAATTTTTTAATTATTTTAATTTTATACTTGGATACTAAAAGAATATATACATTAATAATTAGTAAAATATTTCTTATATTGCAAGAAATAAACAGAGCTATCAACATTTTATTAAAAAATTAAATTAATCAAATGTCATTAAAAAAAATTTTAACAAACAAAATTAAACGTCAAAAAAAATATTTCGAGTACTTCGTATCAACTGAAATATTGTGAATAAAAGTGATTCGATTATTGATAGTTACATTATTTTTTTATTTTACATATATATATAACTTTTTAAATTCTATACATTATAACTGATTAATAAGATTTAATATTTTTATTTATGCTACTGAATTTTAGTTACTTTAATATTAATATAAAATTTATAGAAATTAAAAATATATATTTTAAATTTATTTAATATAACTTTTAATATAAGAAAAATTTATTTTAAATATAAATATTTTTTTTTATACTTTTTGCAAAAATTTAAAAAATTTCTAAAAATAGTTTGTTTATAACTATATTAATTAATATCGATTAAAATTAAAAGCTAATAAATATTAAATATGAATATAATGTATGTAATGTAAATAATATATATAAAAAATATTAACAAAATGAATAACAAAAAATAAAAAAAAGAAAATATAAGAAATGAAAGCATATTTTTTGATTGAAATATCAATAAAAAAAAATCGAGTAAGAATTTAAAACTATTTTGAAGTCACGTGTTGTGAATCAAAATGAGACCGTTATTAATTCAAATGAAATGGATTGGCGGAAACTACGTAATGGCGTACATGTATTTTGCTCACGCGATTTGCTGTATAACTCGTTCAACGTGTTGATTTTTTGTACCGACCTAATAATTACTGTGACACTGAAGCTATAAGTAACATATAATTAGAAGTAATCAAAGAATGAAAGATTATAATTTAACCTGGTAAAGAAGCATGAAATTGACGTGTTAATTTGTTAAAAGAATTTACTTTTATTTAAATATAATGACAAAAAACGATAATTATTTAAAAATTGTTCTTCTTTTTTTTATTTATTTATTTTTATTTATTTTTTTAATATTTTTGAAAAATTAAATGTAAATTGGAAGTCATAAAGATTTAAATAATGAAATAATATTGTTAAAATTATAAATGAATAAAAAAATTATTTTTTTTCTATATATTAAATAGAAAAATTTGGAAACTATATATCTTAAAGTTCACATTTCATCCCTATAGAACAAAGTAATGACATAGCAGCAATGAAACGTGTCTTTACGAGCGTAAATAAGAGGAGAAACAAATCTTTAACCCTTAAGTGCCAGAGCTATAGTAGTTGGTTAGAACATAGTGATCATTTTCGAACATAAGAGAATACTTAAATTCTATTAAGTATATACATCCGTGGCCAAATATTTGTATAAACTTATTTTACTGTTTCTCACTTTTGACATCTTAATTTATAATATTATTATATATATTTTATTATATATTATTATATATTTTTTATTATCACCATTAACCTATGAATTAAAATTAAAAAAAATAAATAAATAAATAAATAAATAAAAACTATTTTTTATGAAAAAATTATTTTGAATCAAACAAAACCATATTTATTCGTAAATCCAATACTAAATATTTATACTAATAGAGTACAAAACATTATTTTTAATATTTTTAATTTTGGATTAAAAAAATATTTTTAATTAGAAAATTTACTTTAAAACTCATTTATATATACGTATATTAAGAACTTTTTTTTAATAAATTTATATAATCTTATTTTTCTTCTTGTTTATTGTATGTAGACATCAGAAAGCATCGGCAAAAACATTTCGTTATAAGAAACGTTTAACGTGCACACATACCGGTCTGGCACCGAAAGAGTTAATTATGACAAAGATGGTATCCCGTGGGCAAGCGAACTTGTTTACTACCTGTCAGTCATCGGCGTATTAAAACCGGCGTCGTGACGGGCAACAACACCGTAGTAGAAAGAGATGTGAGTTAAAGAACGGCACGGAATCGGTAGTGGGCGTTAATATGGAGCCAGAAGTCGTTTTTCTTTCTCCCTTTCATCGCGAGCCTAACACGAGATAGTCGAACTGTCAGTCAAACGTTCGATAACCAATGGTCGACGATCCCTACTACAGCACGCCGAGGAAGAATCATTTTCATGCGAAGAGGGCGTAGCAAAAACTACAAGAGGCCACCGCTGCCGACGGCGCCGATGCCTCACTGCTGCGCAACGCTCTACCTATAGGGTGCTCGATAAAATTTCTGCGGGAAATTCGAGTTTGTTTTACTACTTCTTTCGTGGCATGTATTTTAGAGAATCCTGTAATTTATATGGGAATATTGCTAAAACAAAATTCTTATTGATATATTTAATTTAATATGATATATAAAATGAAGTTGAAAATATTTTTATCTTTTTATTTTTTGTTATAAAAATTTTTGTTGTGAAAATTCATTTTGACACTGTGATATTTCAAAATGTAAAAAAGTTACATTTATAAGAATAATGTACATAAAATAAATAATATCGAAGAAAAATATAGAAGAAAAATTAATCAAATTCTATATTTAATAACTTTATATTTTAATGCATAAAATATTAAAATATAATTTGTTTATTTTAAAAAGTATATATAAACGAATTAAAGATAATACGATTAGATAATAATATAAAATATTTTTTGATATTTAATAAATTTTTTAAAATACTACTTTAACTTATAAATATTAGTTTATATAAGAAAATTATCTGCATAATAATTTTTAAATAATTATTTTTCTTTTTTTACAATTATATATTTAAGATAAAAATTTGAAACGAGTATATCTTGCGTGTGATGAAAGAGAAATTTAAATTTGTTAATTTTATTTTTGAAAGTTTATAATAATTTTTGTAAAGTAATCATAAACGATCAATTTTATTCTTATAATTTTCACAATTGCTATGCAAAAGAAATTATTCCTTTGGAATTTATATTTCTTTTACATTAAATGATAATTAAATTATTTTTAACATAAAGAACTTCACTGCATATTTTTTTTTCTTTTTCTTTTAAATATATTATTATATATTTAAAATTTATAATATTATTTAATTCATTTGACTACAAATTTTTTATTAAATTAATTTTTCAAAAAATATAATTAATCTATTGTACTTTTTTCACTTAAATAAAAATTGAATCACAATATTATAGTATAATTTGATTCATCGAATATATAGCACACGCTATAAGATAATGATGATACCTCATTGCAGCATCTTTGTCACTCTTTTTTTTCATAACAAATTCTTTGAACGATTTCAACCGGTTTTCTTAATACGATGTAAACACCGATTTTCTCGTTTCACCAGGGATACGCTTACGTTGCAAAGCTCGGAGTTTATCGTTTGACGTAATTCGCTTAGGACGAATTATTCCATTCTAAATGGAAACGCAAACAGCTTGACTATGCAACATATCGCTATTACCAATATGAAGTTAAATAGTTTGGTAATAGTATATAAATCAAATATCATTTGTATTTATTTCTAAGTATATTTTGATTTTCATTCTAGTTCTGTCATAAATTATATATTATATATTATTATATATTTAAATAACGAAAATGTATAGTTAAATTGATTTCCTTAAACAAATATTTAATTGATGACTAATTTGATGATTAATAATTGATTGATAATTGATGATTTGGTTAAAAATATTTATAAAAAATATCATACAATAATAAAAATAATAATACATCTTCATGTTAAAATTCCCGCCTCTTATTTTACAATTGACAATACTAATAAACGATCTTATCATAATTGGCTAAATTCTTTTTAAAACGTGATGTTACGTATATCAATTATATGAGTTACATAAATATATTTATTGAGTTACATTCATTATTAAATAATTAATTCTTTTAAATAAATTTATTACAATTTATTTAAATTATCGCTTAAATAAATATGTTTTTGAAAACATAAATTTATGCAGCGATTGTTCATTGTACATTTCAAAACAATAGAGAAAAAAGAAAGTGTTTATAATATGCACTACTGTAATAGATAACGAATATCAACTGAGAACCAGTTGATAGTGGGCTTCAGTCGCATGGTGTGCATGATGTCATTTGAAAAAGTCGCTCTTTGAAAGACTCTTAACAATATCGATCGTATCAATCCGCAATTCTGTCAAGGCAGACCGCGAGGAATGGGCGTTCACTGGAGGGCATTGCGCACAAAACAAGTTTTTCGCTTGTATCGGCGCACCAGGAATGAATAAACGAACCTAACCTCACAATTCACAGGTGCACGGTCCAGCGGGAATTAGGTTGATCGAACGATGTATCGAAACAGCTGTTTGCATGACAGTATTTAAGAAAAGATTTATTTCTTAGCCACTTACCGTACAAAAAAATCTCGTCCAGATAAAATTTACAGGAACAAAACAACACCGTCCACCACTTTTATTTTTCGAAGATATTTCGGTCGGCGTGTCTGACTAGTCGAAAACTAATTTCCTTTTCGTCCACGTGATACTTCCTGGCTCGATGATAATCGTATATCGATGCCGATCTAACAATCACATGCGCGTCAACACAAATCCTTCTGTTTACTACTATTCACGCCGTACAATAAATTAAAGTAATCGGACATTTTTCAACATGCTCCTCCACAATCCTGTCTACTCCTTCCACTGACACGTCTTTTATGACGTCATCGATTCAATACTTTTCGCGAAGGTTTCTCCTCTTCATTGATACACTAACTCCGCAGCAGATGGCGACACTAATGCGATTATCGGTTCATTCAAGTGTCGCTCAATTAAAGCGCGATATTTAAATTTATTGTGAAAAAAATTATATACACTAATTTATCGAATATATGTACATTTCATATATTAATTTATAATTTCATTAATGACGTTATTAAAATAAGAAAAAACAAAGAAATAATTATTAATAATAATTACATTTACGAATATCGTTATAATTATTTTATGATAAAATATTTCATCTTTTACTTCAATTTTTCTCTCTTTTACATATTGACAAAATAAAAACATTTGATATTCAAAGAAAAAGTAATCAAAATACTCGATTACCTTTGTTAAATTAAAATTATAACGTGTATATAATAAAAATAAATTAGAAAAGCGAATTAAAAGGATTGAAACGATGAGTAACGATCAACGATATCTTATCATTGGTTTTCTTATCAGAATACTTGATACAGAAAAGGCGTCACATTCACAGTGTAAAATTCTACCGGCACGGATCTTGTGAGAAATTATGGATTACCGATTTTTAATTATTTTTATTTTCATCTTTGCGACAAATATTAAGTGTCAAAAATCAACCTCCGAAGATATCAAAATCACCGATAATAATAATGATGCAACAAAAGAAATTGAAAATGTACAAGTAGAGGAGAAAATACCTACGATTAAACTTCCAAATTTGTGCACCATATGCAAATGTACAGGTAATTTGTAACCAAATAATGCTCGACATCGCGTATGTTGATTATTAATCGTATTTATATAAAAAAAAAAAAAATAATAAATTCGTTCGAAAAAAAAAGAAGAACAATTATTACGAATGTAAGCAATAATAATGTACAGAAAAAATGTTTTCCTATCAGATGACATCATAAATTGCGATAAAAGAAATTTAACGTACCACTTCGAAGATTCCCAATGGCCAAACAAAACTATGAAAGTGGTATCGTTCGAGGAGAATTCGTTGGTTCACGTGAAACCGTTCCCGGCATTAGAGATCAGGAAATTAATATTAAGGAAGAACAAAATCACGAAGATCGATAATAGCGCCTTTAAGAAGATAATTAATCTGACCGAATTGGATCTAAGCCACAATCAACTTACGGCAGAAAATTTGCAACCTCAAGTATTTGAGGTAATACATTCACTTTTTTGTACAAACGATTCTTTTTTTTTTTTTTTTTTTTTTAATAATTTATATTTCATCGTCTAATCGAAATTTCATTGGCGCAATCTTTCATTACTCATTCGACCATTACGTGGAAACGTTTAATTCTTGAAAAATTACAGCGACAAGATAAATCAATTATCAATATTGACGTTGATCTGATATACAATCTAATATTTTTTTTATATGTATTTTATTTTATTTTATATGTAAAATTACAGTATTACATTAACTGAAACTCCAATTAAAAATTAAAAATATCTTTTAAACGATTATATCTTGAATCACGTTTCTTCGATTATAGCGACAAGTATTATTTTTATTTTGGCTCAAAAATGGGGGATTTAATTTTCCTCAAGAATCATTACGTTATTTTTATTATTATCATTACTTCGATATATAATTATGACAATATTTATTTGAATATCGTAATACTTTTTTTAGGGTAAATTTTCACCGGATATTTACGAACCGTTGGAGAAACTGGTAATTTTAAATTTGGCTCATAACATGCTTCATTCGTTGCATCACGACCTCTTCGAGCATACGACGAACATAAAAATATTGGATCTTTCCGGTAATTTATTCTCGATTCTCGACAGCCGCTCGATCATAGCGATCAGCTCTCTTTCGAATTTGGAAGAGTTAAATTTGAGTTATTGCGGGTTAAAGACAATTCCGGAAACATCATTCTACACGTGCAAGTAAATATTATATTTTATAATATACAATTTCATATAGATATACAATTTCATATAGGAAACAATGGCACGCCAATAGAGATTGATTTGATTTCGAGCAATAATAGATTACGCGTGAAATAAGAAATACGCGTATGAACATTTTTATTCAACTCTCGTCCTTCAACTTCTTTCGATCAAACATTTTTTAAGACTCTTTCTTCATATTTATAACTTGACTTAATATGAACAAATATACCATCTTATTGGCTTCGATACACTTCACTATTAATCTAATTAAATTAAACCGTCGATTAGGAATCTTAAGAAGTTGAACTTGAGCGGGAATCAGCTCACAACTGTGCCGAACGCTCTCAAAGAAGCAACGTCCCTGGAGATCCTCTACATGGATGAAAATCCGATTCAAATTATCGATAAGGAGCACTCGTTCCCAAATATGATTAAATTGAAAGAGTTAAGCCTCTGCTGCATGCCACATTTGACAATAGTTGGATCGGGCTCCTTCTCAGGATTGACATCGCTCGAGCATCTTCGAATACAAAATTGTCCAAAGTTGGAATCGATCCACGACAACGCTCTTGCATCATGGGTAATTGTACAATTCTTCATACTTTGACTTTAGCATAATATTATCCTTTTTCGTGGCTTAAGTAAAGTTAGACAAAGCAAAAAAAGATTGGTCAAAATCTTTCTAACATAGTTTCTAACATAGATTCGATTATTTCTTGTATATATTATATGTTGGAAAATACTGTTCCTGGATTTCTAATACTCGTTTGAATTATTATTAAAGAAAGAATGAGAAAGATAGATAGATAAAGAGGGAGGAGAGACAATAAAGAGGAGAAGGGAGTAATAAATAATTCTCTGAAAAGATTTCTGTAAAATTGTGAAAATTGTTAATAATAATATATCCTAGAATTCGTAATATCGATCGATATTTATTCTTTCTTTAGAGTTAAGGTGAAGAAGAATTAAATAAAATAAAAAAGAAAAGAAATATTATAATATATATTTACTATACGAAATTATCGTAGGATAATAATTCTACGGAACCTGTGTGGCCGCCACTAAAGAGACTCGATTTATCGGATAACGCCCTGCGATATTTGCCTCAGCTATTGATATCAAGGTGGGATTGGCTCGAAAAATTGGATCTGACGAACAACAAATGGAGCTGCGATTGCGATAATGAATATCTCGTAAGTTCTGGTAAATCTACAATACGTGTCTCCCTACTGTTCAACCAGCGATACCGATTTCCAGATCGATCCAGATCGATTCTTTTTTACCCTCGACACTAGTCTCTTCGATCATCGATTTTAATTATAATAATTTAATCAAAAATATGATATTGGAATTTCCGTTCCAATTCATATCGGCAAAAGAGTTCTTTCATAAATTAAATCGAAAAAATATTTTCGTAATATCCTTTCGAATCGAATCAAACAAAACAAAACAATATTTCTTTTCTCCTTTTTTTTCTTTTTTTTAATAACGTCACGAAAGCTATGAGCTAGCTTGCTTCGTATATTTGATCTTGTTTCGAAAAAAGAGAAAGAGAGAGAGAAAAAAAAAAGAAAAATCTGCGAACTTTTAGTCGAAAGTATTCAAATTATATTGATAATTCATTCCCAAATATGAAATTGAAAAAGTTAAGCAATCTGTGCTGTCCGCGCTCCACAATATCTGCTGCCTTTTCGCTATTGACGTCACTCCACCATCTTCGAGTACAAAACTAGATCGTTTTTAACCTTATTTATTCGCTTCGTCGAATTCCCAAATTTCCCAAACCCTTGCATTGACCAACCTCTTCTTAACCAAAATTGTCACGGAACGGAATTACCAATCGAATTTATCACTCATCATTGTCATCGTGCATCGAGAACAACCGTATCCAAAAATGTAATATTCCGTTTCATATACCATCGCAACTCTCTCCTCATATCATCTCGACATATCATCGTCTCTCAACTCTTTGGAGTTGAAAAAAATTTGTGAAATCAAGAAGAAAGATTTCCAACAGATTCTCACCTCTCTTCGTCTCTCTTCCAGATCAACGTTTTGCTGCCAACGTACGGGAAAAGGTTGATGGGCGAAGAAATGAACACCCTTGTATGCGCGGCACCGCCCGAGCACGAGGGTGAAAATCTGACGTCGTTGTTCAATCGAAGCCTGCGTTGCCTGGATCTGTATAACGCAAGACCGGAAAAAGACGCGATGATCCTCGTAGGCATATTGATCGGTATATTGTTCGCAATTCCCGTCTGCCTCACCGCCTTCGTCTTCTGGCGCCGTGGTTTCTTCTTCTGCGGCAATTCGGGCCCGGCCAGTTTCTCGCGAGCCTTTTACAAAAGGACCATGAACAACGAAGAATTTTAAAGTTTCTCTCTCTCTCTCTTTCTTTCTTTCTTTCTTTCTTTCTTTCTTTCTCTCTCTCTTTCTTTCTTTCTTTCTTTCTTTCTTTCTCTCTCTCTCTCTTTCTTTCTTTCTTTCTTTCTTTCTCTCTCTCTCTCTTTCTTTCTTTCTTTCTTCGCTTCGACGAAATTCGATCCGATCGATGACGAGAAGAGATCGATTTCGAACGATGTATATAATATATAGAGATTGGAGGAGGTTTTGAATGGAGGTAATTGAAAAGAGTAACATAATATGAATAACATTTTATCATCAGATTGATGAGAAAAATTATATATATCAATTGATATAGAGTGGATATAAATGTTCGAGACTTGGATGGGAGGGCAAGTTCTAGAAGAAAATTTTCTATTTTGTACGTTTTGTGGATTTTAATTTATATTAACCGCGAGTTATAAAATAAGTTAGCGTAATTCTTATTGATTCGCGTTAAGTGAATGTAATTATACGTATATTTTTATAAAAATGTAATATCAATAAATTAGATTTAGAAATTATAAAATCACGAATTAATCTCGAATCTGTGCATACATCATACTTCGATCGATCTTCAAAGTGTTTTCCTTCACTGTTCGTTCTCTCAAGAACGAAGAAAAAAATCTGATTCCACAAAAATTAAACGGACACAAATAAACTTAACAATTAACAACTTCCTTCTCGATCTCGATCTCGTGTAAAGAATTCCTACAAAGCAACTTAACCTGATAAAAATATAAATAATAAAAATATAAAACTACAGAAATACATATAAAACTTGACCTAACATAAAAATATCGCGTTTCCACGTTTTTAATTCCACGTAATAATCCCTAAACAATCGCTTCCCTTCCATTCATCCGCGAGGGAAAGAAAAGTATCCACCTCTCCCTCCCTTCCAAAAAAAAAATTCTCTCAACAACGAACGACGAAACGACGACGGGCGAACGATAGCCGATAGATAGATCCGATCATCGCCCGAACGATCCCTCGAGCAAGGCACATTTTTCGCTCTAACAAGTCCCCGGAGGATCGGTTTAGAACGCAGCTAGCCGCAGTTTCCGGTTTCGACAAAACCTAGGTCGAAGCTTGGGATTTCTGGCTTTAACGTCGACGTCGAGGAAAGGGGGAGTAGGGGGAAGAGGAGGGAGTTGTCGAGGCGAGTGTTGGCGAGGGATCGACGGAACGGTTGAATGGACACTCGCCTGTAACACAATTACCGGGATGTTAATTTACCCAATAATCGCGGAAGCAACCCTCCCCCCGTCTAAATGCCGGCACGCGCCACTTCCCCTTCCGTCGCCGCCTAAAATAGAGAGGATATATCCGGGGGAGGGGGAGGGGGTATGGGATCGAGGGGGGGGGGGGAGAAATGCGGGGGTTTTACGGACGATTGTCGACGTCGTTACGCGAACGTTTTGCCAAACAGGTCGGGCGGGAAAGGAAGCGTTTGGAAAATGTTCGAGGATGGATCCAGGTTGATATAATAATAATAATAATAATAATAAAGCAAACATTGTTGTTGGAATAATATAACCGAATTGGATAATTCATGGAATCGAGAGAAGGAAGATGGGGGGGGAGGTTATGGTTTGTTTTGAAATTATAAGGAATTATAAGGAGGAGACGTTGGAGTAATTTTTTGGATGATTGAGAATGGAAGGGAAAGTAAAATATAAGGTTCGAGGAATTAAAAAGGAATCATTTAGATTTATTTATCGCGTGTAAAAAGGAGGAGGAGATGTTGGAGAAATTCGTTAAACTATTCTATTTCAGTTCAACGGCAATTGGCGGTTATGTCTGATGGATGGAAAAATCGCATTAGCGACTACGACGTAATGCCATAATAACTCGATCGATCGAGATGTACTCTTAGACTGCAAGATACAAGGAGGATGATACAAGGAGGAGGAGAGCGTACAGAGAGCGTACCGTTTATTTTGGACGCGCATTCCAAATATATATACATGGTGCTTCGCGTACACATCGTCCAACGAGTAAATCTAATTTGATACTCCCTCCTCCCCGATACGCATCCTCCATCCTTTCAAGACTCAATACAGACGTATTGACTCGTGAAAAAAGCCTTTATATGCTTCAATGCAGATGGAGGATCAATACTTATGATATAGGGAAAAGGAAAAAAAGAAAGAAAGAAAGAAAGAAAGGGAAAAAGCAAAAAGGAGGAAAGAAAGAGGAGAGAAGGGAGAGGAAAAGCGTGATGAAACGCGGCAAACAGTGGACAAATGAAAAATGCCCTCTCTCTTTTTCTCCCTTTTCATTCGGAGAAACTTTTTAATAGAAAAAATTATTAGTTTTTCACGAAAAAGGCCTCCTACGGGCTCTTGGAAAAATAAACATTAAACACGGTTCACGAATTTCAGAGAGAGAGAGAAAGAACGAGAGAGAGAGAGAGAGAGAGAGAGAAAACGTTGGAAATTGTTCGATATCGCGTCTCCTCATTCGCACGATTCATAAACCAAATACCATCTATCGTATATTTCCATTCCCCCATATCTCATTCGAAATGCAATTATTAAATTTCGCAAAATGAAATTCTCTCGAATAAAGAGAAGTGAGGGTGAAATTATAAAGGAAACCTCTTAATGTCTTAATCCTCGTATTAATACCTAAAATCACGCACCCTGTTATTCACCCTTGATCATCGAAAAATCTCGAGTTTCAATCGAATTTTTAAATCATTTCACTCGACACGATCGCGATATTGATATACACAATTGAAATTCAAGAAAAAAACGAACCTAACCTAACCTCCTAAGTCCGATTCTCCCTTCGAAACGATCTTCTCCCACGATCTCTCCCCTAAATCGAGACGATCAAACGTAAAAAAAAAAGAAAGAAGAGGAAAGAAGAGGGAAGACAAGGGAGAAGGGAGAAAGAAAGGAGAGAAAAGATAAAGGCGAAAGAAATACAATTTAAGCGGTAGGTAAAGTTACCTCAAAGGTGCACGCGTGAACATCGTCATCGCGCAGTCGATGTGAATGCACAACGACACGGGGGAACCACGAATACAGAGAGCACCTCACCTTCCTCCTCCTCCTCCTCCTCCTCCTCCTCCTCCTCCACCCTTTCCCTTTCAGATCCGGGGTTGCTCCGGGGTTGCAAGGGTGAGAGATAGAGCGGCGTTGGCCTCGACGAGCGGCGCGTGTCCATGGAAACGGCGCCGTTGGTACCGCCCCGCGTTCACCGCGGGGCCAACCGTGGCGACGACAGGCGCCGCGACGCCGACCAATGCCTGGATGTCGCCTCCAACCCTCCCCCCCTCGCGATATCCGCTTCCGAGCTTTACTTATCTTGGCCAGTTAGAGCGGCTGAGGGTGGAGATGATCGCGGAGGGGGGTGAGGCAAGTTGAATCGCCTTGAATCGCGCACCGATACTCCCTAAACGTCCACGTCGAGACGAGGCGACGCTCCGTCGTGCCTGCCTACCCATCTATCGTGCCTACCTCGAGCGAGACCACTTTTCTTTCCCGCAGATTGGCGGACTACCTTTTTTTCAATTCAATTACAATTCTCTTTCTTTCCTTTCCTCTTTCTTCCTTCCTTCCTTCCTTCCTTCCTTCCTTCCTTCCTTCTTTCCTTCCTCTTTTCTTCCCTCTCGCCTCCCCCTTGCCGACCTCCCTTCGCCCAAGGGATCCGCGATTCCGCCAAAATTCCGCCACCTCCGGGAAAAAAGGGGGGCAACACAACCTCTCCCCTTTCGTGTGCGCGCGGACCGTGAAGTTTTTCTTTTAAGATACGTGCGGATACGCGAAGAAGAAATTTGTGATTTTGGAAATTTTGTACGGGGGAGGGAGAAGGAGGCGTCGAAAGATCGATCTTCGAGATCACGCGGGTTCGTCGTTGCGGGAAGGAAGGCGAAGTGAGAAGAGTTGTGTCGCGCGGATGTGAAACTGGACGAGGCGAGGGCTTTTTTTTCTTCGAGGTGTGTTTCTCTTTTCCCCCGTTCACGATTATTCGTGAAGATTTATTCGCGAAGAATAAGAAGATCGGACGGGTGAGAGGTCGAGTGCAATTGGATGAAGAGAGAGGTAATTAATTGATAGGTGGTTGTTGGACGTGCTAGAGATTTATAAGATATATATATATACGCATAGAGTGCAATTAAAAGAAATTGGAACTTGTGGAGGAGTTTTTCGAGGTGCGCGTTTACCAAAGTTTATTTCGAAGGATAAAGCGAGAAGAATTGAAAGAGGCGAGCTATGTGAGAAATTTTAAAGGGTTTCAAGAATTCGTCCATCCAAAGTGAACAAGATGGAGAAAAAGAGAGAGTCGAGTGTTTAGAAAGAATAATCGGTTGTGTGAACTATGTAAGGGTGCTGGAACGTAATCAAAGGATCGAGAATAACATATTTTCGCGAAAGAGAAGAAGATGCAGTCGACTTGCCAGCAGCAACAGGCCCAGCCAGGTCAGAACGGGACATCAGCGAGCAGAACCTCGTTCTTGATCGAAGACATTTTGAGCCGTGGCACAGCACCCCCGCATTCCCATCACCAGCTTCACCACCAACACCTGACGTCCGCCCACGGGGTGCAGCATCAACAATACCAACAATTCGCCAGCTTGTTGCCCGGTTACCCTTCCGCACCACCCACGGCCACTTTCTTCCTCGGACCGCTTTTCGGTAACACCGCAATGGGGGTTGGAGTGGTGCCGGGAGTTACCGAACTCGCGGCCTTGAAGCACTGCCGCCGACGAAAGGCAAGAACAGTGAGTGAGGCTAGAATTCTTTTAGACAGAAGCTTTTCAAAAAATCAATTGTAAAATATTACGAGATTAATTGCAATTTTAAATCGTACGTATTTCATTCCTTGCGCGAAAAATAAAAGTTTTCCTTTTTATCGTCCAAGTTTGCACAATTTTTTTGGTAAACAAAAATTCGAACTGGTAGTTGCTCGTTCGAAACAGTTGTTGTTAAATGTTCGGTTAAATGTCGTTGAAAATTGTCACGGCTATAGGGAAGGAATAAAACGTATGACGGGATTGTTTGCGTCGTATTTAGGTGTTCAGCGACCAACAATTAGCGGGTTTGGAAGCTAGATTCGAGGTGCAGAGGTATCTGAGCACGCCTGAAAGGGTCGAGCTCGCGGCGGCTCTTCACCTCTCCGAGACCCAAGTGAAAACGTGGTTTCAAAACAGGCGGATGAAGCATAAGAAACAATTGAGGAAATTGAACACCAGCGCGGGAAGCAATGGAAATCAGAATTCCAATCAGCAGTGCACCGGCCAATCGGTTTCCGTTACATCACCCGCCGGTAAGCCATTCTATATATACATATATATATACATATATATATATATACTCTTCTAGAAAAGTTACTTCTTTCTAATAAAATCGAAAGGAGAATTAAGAACTAAGAATTATTCTTCGTTTTTCGATTTAAAATTCGAAGGGCGAATAGATAAGCCGTCCTTCCTTTCTCGATGGGAATCAATTGAATAAGGAATGAATAAGAAAAATGTATTTCTGAGGGAAAGATTTCGAAATTAATCGCGATCCTTGGAACGGACGAATGGGAATGGCGACATCAGGCGAAAGTTATATCTGATAAAATGGAAAGTTAGCTACTTATTATAAACTGGATGAACGCTTAAAATTTTCATCGCATCACGTAGCTAATGCAAGCGTTTAATTGCAATTGGAGGAGAACCTATGCAATTTCGTATCCGCCTAACAATGCGTAATTACCGCTAAACACATGCATCGACTTTTCGATAAACACGCGCCGCCTGCTGCTGCTCGCGTTGCTTCGCATCAATTAGCTCGGATTAACAACACCATGTGTCCTACATAATCAGTTGCTCATTAATCATATTTAACGTAATTCTGCAACGAAAAAAAAAAAAAGAATCCCCTCCTAAAAAAAGATTCAAACTTATTGAAAATATATATATATTACGAATATAATTTCGATTCTTGGGAAAAAATTGTACTTGGAACGAAACAGATAAGATCTAAAAAAAATTTGATGAAAGATCAAGTTTCATCCTTTTTTCCACGAGTTTTTGCATTAAACATTCTCGATCTCAAGATCGGTTGAAAAATAAATTTCGACTGATCGAGAGGTATAAAATTTTCAAGTACAAAGGGGAGAAAAGAAGAGGGGGAAGGAAAAATATTATTTCTCTCTCGCGATTTTGAGAATTATCGTCAACGATTTCGTGTAATTGGCCCCCGTAATCGCCTCGTAACCAGAGCAAGGAAAAATAATAATCGCGGCTGAAAGTAGATCGTGGCTTGTGTATCGCAATTAAATCGTTATTAGTATAAACTTCGTAATTGTGATTATCAATTTGCATTCGAGCGCGGGCAAGCGCGTCGGAATTTCCGTGTACGTCAAATAGTTCCCTGTTATCCATGCTAATGGACCATATAATGCAACCAAAATTCGGCTGGCAATAAATTACGCAACTTTAGTTAACTAACCATACCGTGACCGAGGTCACAGTAACTATAATGATTAACTAACGTCGGATGGATAATGATCGCTTTTTATTACTGCACGATCCTCCGCAGTAATTCCGTATCCTCCCCTCCCCCCTCGTTTAAACATTTCCCTTCGTTACAACTTTCTTTCGCGATTATATCATTTTCGTGTCCTTCTTCGGCCGAGGAAAAAAAAANAAATATCATCGACGATAATTTTAAAAGAATATTCGAAAAAAAAAAATATTCGAGAAAAAAAAAATTCGATTCGAGTCGAATCGCGACTTAACAGAGGAAAAATTTATCTTTATTTTCGAAACGCGAAGAGTCAAGAAAGATGGTGGGGAAAAAAACCGGATCTATATATTCATTGGAATATTGATTTCGAATTTATTGAAAAGGATGAAAAAAAAAATTAATTTGCATGCAAAAAAAAAAAAAACTGTTTACATTCGTACAACTATGCATAATTTATTCTCGCGAGTATCACGATGCAGTAAACAACACGCGCAAGACGGAACAACAGCGTCGTTCAAATAATAGATCGAGTAATAATTCCCGATAACTGTACCGCTTTGTGAACACACAATGGCGCACGATCGGCGCTGTTATAATGTAGTAAATGCCGCGATCTGGGAATAATTAAATCGGATCGCTCGCATGAATCGATTTAAACCTGTAACGTTCACGTTCGCGGACGAAAATACGTGTATTGCTCTCCTCTCTAATACCATCCCTCCCCTGTCCAAAAAATACTTTGTACATAAAACTAGATGATTAATTACCACTCTATAAACACTATATCCATATATATATATATATCAACGAATAATAAAAACTTGAAACAAGAGAAAAAAAATGGAAAGTTTAAAGAAACGCGTTACTCTGATAATTCGATGTAAATAATATATTCCAGAATGAGAGAGACGCTCTCGTCGCTTCAATCACCTCGTTCAAACTCCTCCGCCAATTAACTCCTGTAAGTTGACGAAATGATAGGATAAGAAAAAAAAATATTATATTTTCCTCTCGACAATCCTCTTCCTTCTTTTTTTTTTTTTTTCCGCCAAATAATAATCGGCCTTCGGAATAGGAATCAAACTCTCCTCCTCTTCCCCTCCCCCTTCTCCCCCCTCTATACGCAACTTGGACCGCATCTGCTCATAACCTTCGTCAAGTTGCTGGTCTCAGTAGCCAAGATGGCTTCGTTCGATAGGAAGGGCTAACGAAGTTAGTAGACGTCTCCTTGGCAGCAAGGAGGAGGGGAGGGGTGGAAAGCTAGCGTAGAAGACGAGACCGCCTTGTCGTCGTCGTCGTCGTCGTCGTCGTCGTCTAGAGACACGAACCCGAAGGTCTAAGGAAGCTGGGGCAGAGTTACGACATCCCTCTTCGTGTCTCCTCCTCCTTCTCCCCCTCCCTCCCTCCCTTTTATTCGTGTGTTTCCCACCGTCTACGGCGTCTCAACCTCCGTCACGTCTTCCACGGCCTCCGTTTTCTTACCTCTTGTGCCTTCTCGATTCTCGGTCTTCGAGAAAATTAGTCAATTATCGGCTAAGTGCTTGGCCAGACCTACATTCGCCATTGCCCGGACGACTTTACTTGTGTACACCCACATATCTGACCCAATTTGATCGCTCCATCCTCTTCTGACCACTGATAAGATAAGAACCGAAAGAAAATTTTCTTCTCGCGGAGTTTCGCGCGTTTCTTTTCGGTTCTTTTTTTTTTTTTTTTTTTTGTTTGTTGGTTTCTTTATTTTCTTATTGAATTCATAAGGTGTCACGAGTTATTGCTCGACTTGGAATCGAACGAGAAATTGGAATTGTTGGTTCGGTTTAAATTAGAAATGAGTTAGTAGGAAGTATTTTAATAGCTACTCTTGACTCTTGGAATTCCTAGCAATTCGTTTTATAGATATTTTACACTATAATTTTACTATGGGAAATTTAATTTAAAGTTTAGGTTTTCGAACTAGTAAATTCTACAAGGAGGAGGGGGGAGAATTTACAATTTCCAGTGAGCCTGTGGTGTGATAACATTTTCGAACTGTATTTTACACGCGCCTCGTTCGTTCAAATTCTAATTTTTCCATATTCTTCGTTTGCCAATTAGACAATTCAATAATTAATATAAATTCAAAAACACATTTACATTTTTGCAACGATAAACGAAAAGATCGTTCTTGACGATCAATTCTCCAGGAAAGAGGTGCATCTCTTATCGTATCAAAAGCGTAAAATTGTAGAAAAAAAAGTAAGTCAAAGAAAGGAATGATTATAAAAATAAAGATCTCGTTTCTCGATGGAATTGTTGTTGCAGAACGGCCGGTGGATTTTTCTCTGAGCGGCGGCCGAGAATCGCGGGCGAGCAGTGACGCGCCAGTGGATTCGGACGACGACGAAATCGATGTGCTGGGTGACGAGACGCCATCACCTACGCGAACGACCAACATCCACGTTTCCAGACGCACCACCGGTTCACCGACCGGTTTTCATCAGCTCACTTATCGCCATTCCGTCACTTTGTCTCATCAACCGACCCAACAACCCATTCAACGTGCTCAACATCGCTGAAACGAGATGGCGGAAGGATGGTGGTGGTGATGATGATGATGATGATGTCGCACAGGAGGTGGAAGAGAGGAGACTCGAAAGTGTTATGATTATGCGAATCTTGTCTAGTTGGATTCGTCGTTCTTCGTGCAATCGCTGTTTTTAAACGAGTTTTCGAACGACAGATCTGTGTCCGTTTATTACGAGAAATAGTGCAATTCGACGTGGAAACGGTGCGGTTTGACTCTTTTTGTAAATTTTGTTTTCGTAAGATTCGTTATTTTATTTATTTATTTATTTATTTATTTATTTATTTATTTTGAGAGATGTAATTGTGAGACGAACCAAGTTAAAGAATGTAATAAAACTGTGGAGAATTATCTCGTAAAATGACACTTCATAGTGAGTTCTATGTTTAATAAGATAGGATAACAAGGGGAGAAACGTTTCTCCTTTCGAGAAATCTTTGATCGACGAGGGATTGACGAGCAAGATTTGGTGCGAGGTAAAGAAGAGTTTGTGATCGCGAGGATATCGTAATGTACGGGTCAGGTGTGAAGCTGTGTAAGATGAAAAAGTTGGTAGAAAGAAAAGAAGAAGAAAAAAAAAAAGGAAAAGGAAGGGAGAAAGAAAGGACAAGAACTCGAAAGGCGAGACGATGTAGAAAGTGTAAACGACTTGTAAATGACTCTCTCTAGTGATTTAGAGTCTAGTCGATCTCTTGCGACACTTTTTATAGCGAGATGCCGTAATAAAACTAGTCTGTTTTCGAGTTACTTTTTATAGCGAAGTAGAAAGTTAGCTTCAAGTTGGGATTAAAAATGTCATAATGTACGACCAGATTGTATGACTTCTTCCCTTTCCTCAACTTTTAAACAGTTAAGTATTATTGTTTATGTTTAAAATAGTGGAGTAAAAATTTCACGGAAATTTAAAGCGTGAATTACTGCGTTGTTATATTTCGTTAATGGAACGCGGTGTTGAGAGTAAAATTTCTAAATAAATAATCTTAGACGCTTTATAAAAAGATAATCTTTTTTAGAGTAACTCTCATACATTTCACTTTCAATATATATATATATATATATATATATATATATATTTGCACTTTTCCAGTTTTTAGTCGATGATCAATATATCGTCAATCGAATCGTTATATTTTCTTATCTATTACCAAGAATTTATCGTGATTATCAAATTTTAGAGTGCAATAGAGTTTCACGAAAGAATACGTATCACGAGTGACATTTACAACTTGTCGCGGGTCAAGAATGACGAGGCCGCCTTTCCTGCAACATTATCATTCCGCTAATTGACACCCTGACATTTCCCGCCCGTCGTTTCGAACATTTTCGAGGCTTAACGCGCTCCACCAAACAGCCAAAGAACCAATTAATCCCCGCTTAATTCCACCGAATTAAACCGTGAATCATCCCCCCTCCTCGACGAACTTCCTTGCAAAATTTCCACGCACAATTGGCTACCCGTAAAGGATTTCACTTAACCTTTCCTTTTTTCCCTTTTTTATTTCAAATTATCCCAATAATCAACAATCCATCCATCTCGAAAAGATTCCTGAGAAAAATGAAAAAGGAGAAAAAAGCGAAAGAGAACATCCTCCACAGGACTGTTACTACGTTAGCCGAGAGAGAGAGAGAGAGAGAGAGAGAGAGAGAGAGAGAGAGAGAGAGAGAGAGAGAGAGAGAGAGAGAGAGAGAGAGAGANAAAGAAGAAACTAGAAAATTTGCAGGACCTCTACGCGCAGAGATCGGATCGAGGGATCGATATCGAGAAGGACGACCGAGCCTAACGTCTTTTGCTACCTGTTGCCGAAACGTTAGAGAGGCCACGATCCCTGTCTGGCCGGTGGAAGAAAGGGGGATATCGCGAGCTGACGGAGGCCTGAGAGCGTTTCCGGTCGAGCACGAAGGCATAGGCGGAGTCTGTGGAACACGTCGTGCTCCCAGTTGGGGTGAATCCTAATACCCGGATAATGGGAAGTAATTGCGAGGGATCAGAGCCCGGCGTAGCTACTCCATGCTTCCTCTCTCTCTCTCTCTCTTCCTCCCTCTCTTTCTCTCTTTCTCCCTCGGTTCAGGAGTCGTGTATAGAGAGAGGGTGGAGGTGTCGGCGTTCTCATCCCCCTTGTGGCGCCGTGGAGATTCGTGGGGGTGGATGAAAAGGACGGTCCAACGGACGCGCGCACGCACACACATCCGTGGAGGGTGAGAAGGGAAAGGAGGAGGAGAGGGAGAGACGGAGAGAGAGAAGCGTGGAGAAGGCAACGCGCGCGAGAGAGAGAGAGAGAGAGAGAGAGACGTGGGGGCCTATAATCACGTTACCGTGGCAAAATCACGGTGCACATTCTCAAATACGGATCCACGGATGGGATCACCGCCGTGTTTTCGCTCAAGGAGATATATACCTTCGATCGTTGGATATCGAGCGAGAAATTCGAAAGATTAAAAAGATTTTTCAAATTCGTTATCGAATCCTTCGAAACTTTCTTTATTGTTCTATGTAGAATATCTTGCCTCGACAACGCGAAGATATATAAGGGCAAAGCAAATTTAAATATTTTCTTTTGAATTCTTTTGATATATATATATATTCTGATCTCTCGATAGTAGGATCTGGAGAAAAAATAACGAGATCATGGGATGCCATTTACGACGTTTAAATTCCGTTAAGACGTCTGTTGTTACAGGGGCCGTAAATAAAGGAGGGGGGTTCGCCTCTCCTCTTTCTCGCCCCCTCCCTGGGGCTCTTGCCTTCGCGCAAAAGGGAGACTGGAATGCGGCAAAAATAATGAAATAAAGGACAATGAAATGGCAGGTACAATAGACAATGGGGAGGGCCTAGGATGGATGAGAATGAACAAGGCGGCAAGTACAGAGGGGAACCCCGTTGGGGCCGTGGACAGGGTGGCCGCGATGAGGGGTTAAAGAGGGAGGGGGAGGGGTTGGTAGCTGCGCGTACTAAATGCAGTGGGCGGGTTCCCCATTACTTTCATTATTTTCCTTCATAGGGGTTCGGCACCGATATGCGCAGCACAGGATGCTGCAGTCCGCGAGCCACGAGGTTGGAATAGCCTGCTGCTACCTGTATCTCTATTGTTCGCGCTCTCTTATCGTTTCTCTGTCTTTTTCTCCGACCGTGTGACGTGTGTTCGTACACGTATACGCGTATATCATTTTATAATGCTCGTGTACGATTGAAATACTCTTCTTGTACGTGTTATTCCGTCGATATTAATTTTTTAATTGTGTTGAGGGTTAAGGGTTCAGCTCGATGCAGGTGTAAGATAGTCGAGTGTATTAATCGAGGTTTAATTTATGGTTGATTCATGCGAGATTTGGATCGTGGAAGGTGTAGGAAGAAGTAAGCGTGATTTAGGGTAGAGAGATTGTTTTGCGTTAGTTTTTGATACGACTCGACGAAGGTTTGAAGGTTGTTTATTGATGAGATTACGAGTTTGAACGAATGAATAATTTCTATCGTTCTTTTTTTTTTCTTTTTTTTTAATTATAGGTTGTAAAATAATTAAGACGTTTTAACGTTTAGTTGAAATAAAATATCGCGGTAGTGATTCGATTATGGTGTTTCTTCGTCGTATCGAGAATGATTTCTAAACATTAAATTTATATTTCGTATTTTTTACGTATTTAACATGTCTCTCATTACAAACTGATATATCGTAACGTGAACGATGTAACGAAGGGAGTTCGTTTAACGTTAATCCGATTTCACGCGGTCGAGATGGTGATGAGAAAATCGCGCAATTTTGCCGAACTGAATTTCAAAACGTGTTACTCGCACGCCGCTCAAAGGTCGACTGAACCGCTACACTCGATAACTGGATTTATAACAGAGCTCTGTAATTTTGCCCGACATCTTAGGAAGCGAGGTATCTCACTTTCATCTACAATTATTGTATTATTGTATAAACTATTATTATTGCGTAACAAAAAATATTTTTAGGAATTTATTATATATATATATATGTATAATTAGTGTGCATAAGGTGCAGAATGCCGCTTAATGGAGGGTTAAGATCAAAGGCCACTTAAGCGTGTCCTTCTAGAGGTAAAATGAAATTGATAAATGCTTGTTTGTTATCATCCATCGAAAAGAGATACAGAAAAAGAATTGTTATTTCGATAAAAGTGGACGTACTTGTTCGATTTTCATATAATTTTATATAATTTAATATTGATCGACATTGAGAATTAAAAAAATATTATTATAGAAACAGTTGTAATTTTGATAATTTTTGAGAATATTTGTGCAAAATCACACGAGAAAATTTATATTAATTACGCGCGAGTAACAAACTTAGATCGTACACTAAATTGAGTGCATTACGGATTACAAAGTGTTTAATCTGGAACAGTACGTCATAGGTAGATCAAAGAGGAGAAGATTATCGTACGTGCAACGTACGGTACCCCATACGCACACCATAATTCGAGGAAATCAAATTACTTTGGCACAAGCGGATAAGATCTATGAAAGATTCCACACAGGATTAATAAAAGGATTTATAACCGATCGTATCGTAGAAGAATCAACAAAGAATATTAAAAATTCGATCAAATATAATTTAATTAATTATTTTCAAAAATAAATCTCTCTCTCTCTCTCTCCCTCTCTTTCTCTCTCAGTTTTCAAATATTTTCAATTTAAAAATTAAATGAAAATTAATTAACTCTGAATAATGCGTTTTAATAATAATTTTATAAATAATATCTCTGGAATTTAAGGAATTATTGATTCGAAATACAAAAGCAAATACAAGAGAAGCGCAATCACAGAAGTTAAAGCATTCACAGGACTAAAAGTTTACAAGCAGTGGTTTAGAGGAAATGGTGGTTCTGGTCGCTGCGGGGATAGAGAAAGGGGATGGAAACAGACTCCCAGTAGATTTATTCCAAGGGTTCGTACAGGCTATTGGATTGACACGCGGCGACGTCTTGACAGCTTGTTAGGCTAACGGTTGCGTGCTGTTCATCGAACACGATGCGCTTGAGCCTCTTTACTGCTCTTTACCTTGACATTTCGTCTCTGATCTAAAACGTTATACCATTGTCTGCTCCTTGTTTCCCTTGCATTACGATTCGAGAGAGAAAGAGAGAGAGATTTTTTTGTCAAGATATTATTGTATCTTAATATTCGCTTTCAATAATTGTAATTGCATTGTTCTCTTATATTGGAAACGTGAATATCTTTTTTGATGATTTTATTTTTAACTTTAAACTATAAAACCAATTGTTTTATAGCGAAATTAATAAGATTTTTCACAAACATCACGAAATATAATTAATGAACTTTCAATCTTTGAATGATTTCTGAGATATGTGAGGTTATATTGAGGTTATGAATTCTAGAATCTTAACTTTGAATAATTTCGATATATATAATAATTAAGTACTTTGAACACTGTGATAAATGTTTAGATTTGTTAAAGATTTTACGATCTCTGAATCATGATTGTCCTTGATTTAAATAATCATTTAATAATAACTTTTATTCCGAATTTAAATCACTTTGGAATCACGAATCTCACGATTCCTTAAATCGCGGTAATGCCAATTCGTGTAATGAATATCACAATATTATAAGATTATTTTTTTATTCAACAAAAAATTTCTATTCCCATTTCAATAAAAAAAATTGTTTGATATAGGTATTTATAAAAATGTTTATTCTTGTAACGAAGGTTCACAGAGAAAGGAAAGGAATTAAATATATTCAGTGCTATATACCCGTTGAATCTCGAGAACAGGAGAAAGGATCTACGAGAGAAGGATATTCGTGGTGGAGGGAACAGTATTACTGTCCACGTGCCGTTTAACTTGATCACCCTGGGCAATCTGGCCTCATTTCAACCTCCAGTTACTACGGCACTTCCGCTAACAAATAATATTGTTGACGACCCTGCGGGGGCGTTCTGATTCGATTTGCTACACTATAAAAGCGTACTGCTGGGGAGCTGGCACCAGGATAGGGAAAGCTTGATGATCGGAAGATCGACAGAGAAAGATGAACGAAGAAATGATTTGAAACGAGTAAAAGAAACAGACACCGATAGGATCGAACAATTGTATATTATTGATATTTCACAGAATTTCACGAATTATAAGATTAATTAATTCTGCTGAGGTATCGAAATAAAAATATAATTTACATTTTAATTTAAATTTTTAAAAAATACGAATTTATATGAAAATTTTTTCAAATTTTTAATTGATCTTTAGATAGAGTTTTAAGCTTTTTGCAAAAAAAGTTTTGTATTTATCAAAATTATAAAACTTATAGAAAAAAGACTATAAATTTTCAATAAATCAATTATCGATAAATCAAAAAATCAAATAAATATATCAAGTATAACTTAACCTCAAATTCAATAGTTTAGAGGTTAAACTTCTTTTGAAGATATTTCTTCGAAAAACAAATTATTTCATTTATCGTAATTAAATATAACAAACTTTAACGATACATAGGCTGAGAATGAGTGACAACGAGTTCTTGTTCAAAAGAAAAGAAAGAAAAAATAATTATCAACGTGATACAATACAACGTGCTGGAAAACACGGCTACGGTCTAATTAGTCCGGTTATTTAGTTAGGCCATGCGAGATGCGAGAAGTTTACTCGGCCGTTCGGTGCTAGAACCACTAAAGATTCGTATCTCCAGGACGTGTTTAAAAATAATTACCGTGGAAGATTCAGCGATAGTCACGGAGTCGCCCTCACCTTTGTGCTTCCTGCCCTCTGAAGTGGGCCCTCGTTGTTACGGCATAAAGGCAGCCCAGCCAACCCCTTCTGTACGTCCTCGCGTCTCTTCCGGCACCGTTCAAGTGGTCCTCACCTTTCAACCACTCTATCACCGCGTTTAAAGAAGTAAAGACCAAAGGTCCTTTACCGTTTTAAGAGGTTAGACCGGCTTGAAAGAAGTTTATTCGAGATGACAATGTGACGCGATGCTCCGGATGCCTTATTAAATTGACGATACACTAGCCCAACTCGTATCACGAGACGAATATCGAGTAGTCACTGAATAGACCGACAAGGATACGATAAAGAACTAAAGACCAAAGGTTTCTTTCGGCTTTAAACTGATTCACACCGGATTGATATAATATGACGCGATCACGATCCGTTAAATTGGCGGGATTTTCGTTATAACTATATGCGCGTAGATATGATGAAAGAACAATCAGTGCGCAACGAGTGACAGACGCTCGCCCCGCCCCCTAGCAAAATTCTCGATAATTAATTCAATTTGCAATCGAAATACATACGATCAAAGATGGAATAATGAATATTTCGATATATTGTTTTAGAGAAACAACAATATCGAAACAATTATCATCGTATCGTTATAAATTAAATATTTCAATGATAAAATACTTTGTATTTTTTTATTACTAGAATTAAAAGATGAAACGATTTCATTTAAAAGCAGTTAAAATTTCATATTGAACAGTGTTAAAATAGGTTAAAAGGAAATATAAGAATGATATATGATTTCTCCAATATTTATAGTATTTATATTTGTTACATATAATTTTCCATATATTATAATTATAATCGTAGTAGGCAAAAAACAGTAGTATCGTTTAATAACAGAACAGTCATACGACGAGAAATACAACTAAGAAATAAGAAAGAAGAAGAAATCGAAAGAGTGGGAAACAGAATAATAGTGTCCAAGTTGACAAACGGTGGGTATTTGACGCTCAAAAACAAGATTACTATTAGCCTTTTTTTCTGCGACTATGAATTATCTTTGCGTCATTTCTCATAAGAAATATTAATTTCTAATAGGCGTACCTTTTCTCTCTTTCATTCTCAGAATCCTACGACTATAATATCTATTATATCCGGTATAACCGCAAGAATCTCAAATTATTAAAAATATACATCCTACGGATGTATCGTTATTGCGCATTACATTGTGCAGAAGTATACTCGTAAATAGATGTATCCTCGAGTTTTCTTCCTTTTTTTTTTTATTATTTTAGGCATTATTTTAAATATAGCTAACTAGGCCTTTCCTATTACACTTGGTACCCAGGGAAGCAGCTATTAAAGTTCACTTTAAATACTTCTTTTTTTTTTAATTTCTAAATAAATTTCTTCTTATTTTCTCATTGGGACAAGCTACTTGTGCATGCATATTTTTTATGAAATTTACGCGCTCACGACTTTTTCCTTTTCTTCTTGTTTTCGATAAAAATTAATCAAAAATAACAGTTATAGTGAAAATAAAAAATCGAGCACTGAATATTCGATTCTTTGATAATTATATCGACTTTATTCTTAGTTTTATTTCATTCTACTATATATCTAATTATTCATCTAATATTTAACTTTACTCAAACAAGTCAATCAAACAAATTAATAACATTAAATTTTCAATAATTAAATATTAAAAAGAAATTCAAAATTAGAACTTCAATTGAAATATTCAAGAAATAATTTTTAACCTTTCGAATGATCAATGCTCGTTTAAAAATTTATCACGATTCAAAAATAGAAACAAAATGTAAAAAATATAACGATACTACTGGAACAATTTGCAATGTTTAAATGCAAATTGTTACAGTCTTTTTCAACACGCGCTATAGAAATGTTTATACTTCGTATAGGTTTTTTAATAGTTCGTGAACGCTTTAACAAGTTTATCACGCGAGTCACGTGTACATCAAACAGGAAAAATTGTAGCAAAAAAGATTGGATTTGAGGAATAATCAACTGTTCCAATTATTATCACCGCTACTCGATCGCTAACTTTTATTAATTCGAAAATCCTGTCGCGTTAAATCCTAAACGCGTCCTATTGACGCAATATTTTCTCGTTACATATCTTGCTCTCACTCGTCATAGCCATAATTATCGTAATATCTAGTAAAAAAAAAAAAAAATCTAATAAAAAAATAACAATTAAAAAAAAAATAAACAAGAAAAAAATATCCTTCATCCTTTCACAAGTACTCTTTAAATTTTCTCCTTATATAGTATTAATCTTTCTTTTTTCTTCTTTTTTTTTTTCTCTTTTTCTTTTTTCATAAACATTCAAATACAAATCGTTAACTAATGGATTTAAGTATGTATCTCGATGATTTCGAGTATGTGTGCTTGGTCGTCGCTTGGTTTGTCGTTTGCTTTACAAAAAAATCGTGTTACATCATTTTATACTACTTTACATGTAGCATAAAAAAATACATAAAATATTCGGGTCGCATGAGGGTCGATTTATCTTGGAACACAACGCGTATTACGCGTGCAATGTTAATTGTATTAAAAAAGGTTCTGTTGATATCCATATTTGAACGTTCTTTTGCTAATGAATATTTTCTTTCCTCTTTTTTTGAGCATTTTCAGGATCACAAATTGATGATTCCCCGAGACTATTTTGATTCGGGCAGAGATCGAAATATTAAAAAGATGACTTGTGACTTCTATAGATTTGTTACTAAATTCATTGATTCATGACGATGATGTTGGATGAATTATTATAAATTATTATCGTAATGTCTAAGAGAGACAATTTATTCTGGTGTTTGGATTATCCTTATTTGTTGGAAAAAGAGGGAACCATGATCGTGTGACTTCAGAAAAAAGACTTAACGATCTTCCAACGTTTCTACATCCGGTCTACGATATGACTGGATACTTTTCAGTTTGTAAATAAATCTTAATAAATGCTAAATTCTTAAATAGTAAATTATAGTAATAATACAAGTTATTCGAGAGAAGAAAAATATGATAAAACTGCTAATCAAAGATAAATGCGAACACTGAGAATAAAAAGTGTAAATCCATAATAGATCATCATTTGCAAGAACGGCAATTCCTAAAAAAAATGGTAAAAATTATGATGAAAAAAATGAAAGAAAAAAAAGAAGTAAATGCAAAAGGAAATATAAACTAAAGGATATTGTACGTGATGCAATTTATAAAACTCTATCAGTTTAATAAATTATACTTTCCTATTTAAGAGATAAAATTTTTCAATGTTATCCTTAAAAAAATATTCGGTCCTCTAGTAATCTTGATTTCAAGTTAGGCTCTTCTTTACATCGAATGCACAAACTAAAAAGTATAAATTAATATATTACATGTATTGATTAAATAATAGTAATTAAGAATATACAAAAGAGGTGTTACAAAGCCATGGACCAGTCCATGGCAAAAAAAAAAAAAAGAAAATATATCAACGTGTGCATAGAATACTTAATTTAATATAGTAATTTCAATTATTTTTTTTTTTTTCGTATATTTATGTATAATATGTATAGAAAGAAAAAATTTTTTGTTAACTTTCAATAAAGTATGAACAAAAATCCATCAAATGTACCAGAGCTCTTAACATAAAATTGAACACGAATATCAACGAATATTCTAATTTCATATTCTCGACATCGATATAACACTAATAGGGTGTAACATATTTTATAAAATCTGTAACTACGTGCTATTTCTTTTACACGTGATAAGCGATTGGCGTGAAAACGAACACGTAAAACGTAAAAATGAAAAAATAATAATAAAATAAAAAAATTAACAATATTAATTTTAAAAGAGGGAAAAAATTCGAACAATATTCGAAACAAGAAAAAAAAAAAGAAAAAAAAGGAAGTGATAAAATGCTAGGATACTTAACACACACTTCCGATTATTATAACGAACAAACTTTCCTTTCGTTAAAATGCAATACCGTATAAAAATATTTAGATCAATGAGCAACAACAAAATTCATAAAAAAAAAAAAAAAAAGGGAAGCGTTTCGATTATATCTTATAACTCGATTACATTAATCGATACGAAGACACATACGCTTTCACTTAAAAAATATTAATCCCTTTGCACCCGTACTTTAAATCTAAACAGAACGAATATTTCAAATATTTTTTATATATGTATTAATAGAATTCATTAATTTGGTCATTTTTCTTGTTTTTTCTTTCTCTCTTTTTTTTTGGTCTTTTTTTTATTTTTTTCTTTTTTGTCATCTTTTTTCGTTATTTTTCTCAAACAAACAGGACGACAATAAAATATGAGAAAACATGTATTTATAAAGCACTACGCGTTACGAACATATAATTATTCGAAGATTTCTAATTCAACCATCACAAGAGGAGTATTTATATATAAATTCGTACGTGAAAACATTTAACTTTGCGTAAAATTTATCAAACAAGCTTACATACTTACTTCAACTCACGTTAAAAAATGCAGTTTCGTGTGCAAAGGGTCGACAACAAATCAGTCCACGAACCCAATACACTCTGGTACATATCGATTAAATTAATGGTCGATTAACAGAACAGCGCGAAAAGCATTAATAAAATGGGACATCTTTGGGAACGATAACAATAATGACAAAAATTGATTTCTTACACGACTCGTAACAATAACAGAAATAATCTAATAATATTTATGTATAATATCGTTTATATAATAAATTAAAAGATACAGTTTATATCATCGAACTGTTCTGTTAACAACAGCGATAAAAAACCGAACATTTTCCATCGATTTTCTTTCTAAAAGCATCAATCATCAGACCATCTTTTTCTTTTTTCGTTATACCACTCATCTTTAATTTAACTTTATTGAGTTTCACACTTTAATCCTTTGTACTCGATTAATCTAACACGCAGAAAAAGATAAATATTAAATAAAATATTAATTAAATACTTAAAAAAAAAAAGGAAAAACAGCAAAAAGTTTTTAATCACTTAAAAAATCAATCGTACGTATGTTTCTTGAAATTGGACGTTAGAATCAATATGTCTTCCATTTAAAATTACGATAGTCGATACAAATCGATTTAGTCGATATAAATCGATTTAGTTGATACAAGTCGATATAAGTCGATTAACTATCATTTTCGATAAATATCGTAAAATACTGATATCCATTTTTTTTAATATCATATGAAATTATTCAAACGAAAAAAATACACGTTTTTATATCTAACATTCGAATGTAAAAGAAAAATAATAATAATAAAAAAAAAAAAACAAAAAGAAATAAACATACCTCAATAAAATTTGAACGTCGTTGAGAACAAAGGGTTAAATGCGATGATCGGTACAACGAATAGATCACTGGAATAGTATATATCATAGTTCATCATGCGACGCGATTGCAGAGCCGTTTATTCAACGCAGGAAAAACTTGACAGAACATTTCCATAAATATTACTTTAATATCAATGAAGGGAGGGTCTAGAAGCTCTCTGCTTTAACCTAGCCAAAAGCGCTTGTTCCCCATCATCTTCCGTCTTCGATAACATTCCTCGAAAGCTTTCCGATCTGTATTTATCCCTTAAGAATGTCCTCCTTTCTTCTTTGTACTTTTCTATCCTTTCTCTACACTGAGGATCGCCAAGATCTAACCCAAGATTCTTTAAATGCGTTTTATCAGAACTACTCGACGTAGCGTTCGAACCTGTTCCAACATTAGGCGTAGAACTGTGCTGCACGTCCTCTGTAACCTGTTTTACTGGTAAAGATGCTTCCTCCGTCATCTTATTGAATTTTGCTTCGTCTAAAGATCGACTGAGCGATGCTCGTGTCGCCCTCGCGTGACGAGCTCTCAAACATGGTGGCAAGTGTTGAGTATTATTTACCGGTGGTTCTTCCGACTTTCCCCGAGCAGAATCCAATTCTTGCTTCATTTTTCGCTCACGTACAATTTCCCTACCGATTTCAGAATCAAAGCTTCTTCGATCCTTGTTACTTTCCGCTTCGTATCTTCTTCTTGGTGGGACGGATAAATCTCCCACAATACCTCCAGATAACCTTTGCAATGCTAATTCTTGAAGTATAGCAGCCGTGTCTCGAAGAACGATAGAATCATCCACTGGAGAAGATGTATTTGAAAAAGTACACGATGAGTTTAAGGATGTTGTCTCGGATGCACCTTCTGGAGGATGAGCTATCTCACTAGGTTCTGCCGCATTCTCTGATGGTATTACCACTTCAATGTGCTCTTGTAATTGGCTGTTCTTCACGTTATTGCATTTCAATGATTCTTCAGCACGCGAGGAAAATTGTTTGTGCTGTTGACTGTTCTGAGTCGATTCCTTTGGCGAAACATATTCAAAACTTTGGCACTTTTCTGATTTTTGATTTTGACAACGTTGCTTGTTGTTATCGACATTAGTTAAAGATAAATCAAGATTTTGACTCTTCTTTGATTGATTGGGGAACGAGCAGCGATCACTTGCCTGAAATTGCGGTTTCTGATGTAACTGCAAGGAACGTCGAATTTCTTGTTGTTGAAAATCGAGACTTTTTGAGGATCGTTGAGAATTTCCAAAAGTTTCTTCTTCTACGAGAATCTGTTCCTTCACTGGATTCTCATTTCTATTGAACGTTTTAGTGTTATCTAATTGCGTGTAACAAGCGTTGTTTTCATGCTCCATTTCATTAGATTTTTGATTTAAATGAATATCTGCCATACTAACGGTACGTATCTTCTGATTTCCATTATCTTGATCTTGTACAGGCGAATGTACGATATTTGAAAAATTATTCCCAGAATCAACCACTCCAAAATTTGTTTGATCATCGAAAACTCTAGAAGTTCTTTGTACCGTGTTAACATCATGTTCCTCGAGTTCTCTATTATCAGCAACGTCGAATGTCATTTCAGCCGTTTCCTGAGGAAGAACGGGACTTTCAGTCAAGTCACTGACGCCGATGCAAGACGTATCAGTATCCACAGTTGAACCCATAGTGAGATCCAAAGAAGTTCTGGAAACATTTTCCGATATTGATCTTAGTTGCGGTGCATCCGTTGCAATCGCATTATTCACGGTGCCTTCTAAAGGATCCTTAGAGCTACTTGATTCGCTCGTAGGTGTCGTAATCGAACCGGTTGTCTCTACTATCACCCACTCACCAGAATCGTTAGTGTTGGATATCATCTGTGATGTTTCTGTGTTTGTAAATATCTTGTCGGAGTTATCACAAATCACAAAACCGGAATCAGGCAAATCCTCAATCGTTTGTTCGCATGACATCGGAGAATCGAGATCTGTTGCGCTGGATAATGGCAGTCCTGGTAATTCGTTCCTATGTGCGTTTGAATTTCCCGCCATAGCAGCATCGTCGTTTTGCGAAACGATCGATTTGTTCATCGGTACATCGTGTTTTCGCACGTCCAACGTATCTCTGGTGTCCCCGCTACGAGATTTATTATCTTCAACGGGACACGAGCTTGATCTATTTTCTATATCCTTACAAATAGACGTTGTTACTTTACTAGAATCTATCTCGCTAGGATGAGACATTAGCCTCTCGCAAGGCATCATTTCTTGGTCGACTACATCTGATACAACTAAGTTTGTTTCCTTCGAAGTCTTTTGAGTCTTGGAAGGCTCTTTATCATCGTACAAATCTATGTGCTTGTCGTATGTCATTATTCTCTCACAGGATTTAGCATTACTCTGCCCTTCTAAGTTTACAGATAACCTATGACTAGGGTCGGATGATTTATCGGAAGACACGCTAGTTCTGTTCAGTTTATTCGCGTTACTTTGTTCGTCATCGATTTCTAAAGGTAAAGTGAAACTTCGGAAACTTATCCTAGGACTGTTAGCTGGTACAGGTGACGTAGAATGCGGTGTTCCATGTAGTGTAGCGGGTGTGAGTGGGGTTGAAGCTTCGGATAATAACGGTAGGTACCCTGGTGTTGGCAAAGGAGATGGAGTATCCATGCTATGAATATCTGCAGATACCATCACCTGTAAAAAAAAATATTAAATTTGTTAATAACGATTTTAACTCGTTTTTACAAAAAACAAAATTCAAGAAAATTATACATAAAACACACGATATCATATACCTGATCAGGACTTTGGCTATCAATGAAGCGCAACTCAACGTCGCATTGCAGTCTTTCCTCTAATCGCGATCTCTTCCTCTTGGATCCACCGGTAGCGGCTATATTCTGCGTTCCTTCCGTTCTTTGTCGTCGAGGAGATGCTTCCACCGATGCAACTCCCCCACTCTCCTCCTCCGAGAACATTCGCATTTCTCGTTCCTCCAAGTCGAAGTTAAGCTGTATTTCCGACAAATCCAACGGCGACGCGGTATTCGGTGCGTCTGCTAAATGATCGAAATAGGAATCATGCGAAACTGATCGACTATGCCCGCAAGGTCTAGCTGGTGGCGGTCCCAGCAGAGGACCTAAACTGTCCTCACCATCCAAACTGTCTGCGCTTTTCACTGGTCTTAATCGTCGTAAGGAGTTTAAGGAACTTGGCACCGTTTCTGTTTGAGGTGGCGTGCCAACTTGTCTTGTTTTTCCTCTGGCACCCAAACCACCTCGACCGAACAAAGCTCTCCAGTTCAACGAGGGTGAACGTTTCGAGCCATTTCTCTTTCGCGGTAATTCTATGACCGTATGGTAATGTAATGGTAACCCGGCTGGACCAGCGCCCACTTCCACGTAATCAGGCTCACCTCTCAGGCTACGATTTCGAGCCTCTTCCAAACTAAGCAATCTCGCCGGTGTTGTAATGGCCAATGATTTCGGCCTTCCGACTGGGCCGTCTCCGAAAATCAATTCGGCGTAACAGACCAAAAATTCCGTGACCACAGCCTGCACACCGACGCCTTGCAACGCGGCTACGCCTCCAACCTCCAATTCCTTGCATCTTAAGAGATTCGGAGCCCAAACAATCGCAACGTTACGCGGCGTCATACCAGTCTCCGCTCCTCGAGCTGCGACTCTCACTAAATGTCGCATGAGATATTCTAACGTTCTGAAAATATAAATTATATGATTATTTTCTCTATTATTATCTTCCTAAAGATTTATTTTCAAATAGAGAGAAAAATAAATGAATGAAAACAAATTTTCCTTTTTTCCCCAATTTACCTGTAGTGCGGTGGTGGTAATTTTCTAACGGTATCCCTCATCCGCCTCAATCTTTCCGCGTCGGTACTAGCTTGAACCGCGCTAACGAAAGTGGAATAAAGCTGGTACGTACAGAGCGGATTCGGTAGCTCTCTGAAGTACATTTTCAACAACGAAGCGACAGAATGAATATCTTGTAGAATACTTTCATCGGAATGCAATGCAGGAACACGATCCTCGTCGAACGCGTTTCGTAATCTCTGAATGTTCGATGTCACGCCGCTTAGACGATATATACCATCCACCAGGCCATGATTCTCGATGAATTCAGCGCAGCACGTTAAAACAGTAGGCACTGTAAGCATAGTGGATCGTTAGAAAATCAATTGGAATTTAAAATATTAATATTAATATATACATATTTATAGATATATATATATATATATACCATCTTGACCAGAATTTAAAAGATGTTCCCCTAAATCACAACCAAATACACGTTCCTTCAGAATTCCTGACTGCTTCAATCGTCTTCTAGACGGTCTATTCAATATAAACGATCTGAAAAAGGCGATTAGCTTCCCGTGCTTTCTGAGCACCGGTTTCACGGGTAACTTTGATCTAACTGTCGTCGACACGGTGAGATGCCGTGGCACTTTATCCCCGATCACAGCCACACATTCGGCCGGGAAAAAACCGACTGCAAATCCGTGCTTCCCACGCCACCATGTACTCTCCCCTGGAGGGGGCATATCTATCACCGAAATCATATCTCCAACCTGAAATAGATTAATTTTTCTCGTTAAATCCATCCACTAATTAACTTCTTCCTTTCTCTCTCTCTTTCTCTCTCTTTGCTTTTTTTTTTTTTTTCGTTGAAAAAAATCACTTTGACGCCACGTTAGATTACTTTTTAAAAGATGGAAAAGTCATACCTGAAACGAGATTTCATCCGGCGCCTGAGCTACGTAAGGTCTAACAGCATAAGCCGCGGCTACTGCAGGAGTATTAATGGGGCATGAATCTGACTCTGGGACGAGGATTCTTCTTCCCCTATTGTCTAGCTGCAACCAATTTAACACAGGACCGCAATTTAGGCCTTCATGATTTAACTGGGAGAACCTGTTCAAATAGTCCCTCAGTATATCACAGGTGTTTTTTGGCCGTGTATCTGGAAGCTTGGTTAAGGAAGAAAACTTCCTGTCGAATATGCACCGATGCAATTGCTTGTCGAACATAACAAAATTGTCGTACGATCGCTGCAACGTCCAGCATGCGTCCCCGGATGTTACTCTGACCGCGTAGCTGTCTGAATCATTGGTACCCTCGCTAAGCGAAACCTGGAAAATCGACGATTTTTATTTTTTTTCTTTTTTTCTTTTTTTTTTTTTTAATAGAATTATTTTTTCTTTCGTAGGAAACATTTCGTAATGAACATTAGAAAGATTTAGAGGAAGGTTTTCGAAAAAAAAATCTTCGAAATGAACATTAGAAAGATTTTCGAAAAAAAATCTTTGAAATGAAAATTAGTGAGATTTTCGAAAAAAAATCTTCAAAATGAACATTAGAAAGATTTTCGAAAAAAAATCTTCGAAATGAATATTAAGAAGATTTTCGAAAAAAAATCTTTGAAATGAAAATTAGTAAGATTTTCGAAAAAAAATCCTTGTGATCGTAAGGGTTAAAAAGATTGTAGAAAATAAGAAGAGGAAGGAAGTTAAGAAAGATTAAAAAAAAAAAAAAAAGAGAGATGATTTAAAATAATGGCAAAAGAAACGATATTGTAATTAAGAAAAGAAAGTGTTTAGGTTTATAGTATTTTTTTTTTTTAATTGTTGTATGTAAGATGATAATTATTAAAGCGAGGTTAAAAATAGTTTAAAATCGTTTGAATGTAACTGACCTCCAAAGAACTGAGTTCAACATGTTCGTAATGAAAGTGGGCACACTCGTCCAATTTTGGAAACCTTGCTATACTGCTCATGTTGCTGCCAGAGCTGATTGGTGTACTGAAATCGTCCGTTCGATTACATCCTAATCCCTGCGTTCAATAAAAATTGTTACGATTTTTCTATCAATTTTATCACAAATCAAACCGTGTCTTTGACAACACGTTGAAGATTAATAATTACGATCAAGCAGAATAATAATTTGAGTAATATTAATAATATAAAAAACGTTTCTCAAAATTTCTTGTTAAAAAAATAACATCTATCTATTTACTCTATTCTCGATCCAATCAATGTACAGAATGTATATCTATGAAAGTATTTATGAAAGTAGAGTAAATCCATTCTTAAAATATACGAATATTTTAAAGAAAATAAATTGTAAAATTTTATATAAATTATTCGTTTGCTCAATTTTTTTACAAAAATGTATTTACACCAATTTCATAATAATACGTGTAAGAAATATAAAAAGAAATTTTTAAATATAAAATCTCATTGAAATATTTCTCGTATTAAACGTTTCGCATCGACGTGCGATGTATAAATAATTATATTTTTAACGCGATCTTACGTACGAGAGAGAACGTTCTAAATTTAAAAGAACGCGAAACGAGATTCGTTGCCAAAGCGGTGGCAAAATATTATCTTAGGATAATGTCAAAAATAATATGCTGTTGCTAGAGAGAAATGAGAACCGTGAAACAGTGTTATGTTCGAATAAACTTATTATGTAAGTATGTACGAACGGTTTAAACGGGTTTCGCTGCATCGCGTTTAACGTTAGCAGAAGAATATGAAGGCAGTCTGTGAAGGCAATTGAAGGAAGACGGTTGAAGATGAATCATCGTAACGTCGTTAACTAACGAGGGGAGAGGACCGACATCGGGTGATCTCGTTCAAATTTTTGTCCAAGGAATGGAACGCTTCGTAATAAATTAGGTTTAAATGCTCGTGTAGCGTTTATCGTTTTGGTGAAATCATCGTTCAGGGTGTGTCCTAAGTAGACGCCAAATTTGGCCCAAATCGATAAACCGAGTATGGCACACTGCCCTTCTAAGTGACAAACTTGCGTATATAATATCAATGTTCTCTATGTTCGAGTTTCTTGGTGAAAATTTTGAATTTTTTTTCTACTCTTACGTAGTTTTTTTTCTTTTAATTTTAAAATTGTTCAACTTCTACGATTCTTAATCTTTCGATTCTTTCGAACGTTAAAAATTCGTAAATTTTTTTCGCTTTTATCGTCGAAATATTTCGTTTTAAAATGTTCAAACTCGTCGACAATATGATGGTACTTTTTTTTAACCGGTTACGAGTTTAACGGTTAGACGCAATTAACGCGATCATTGTATAGAATTTGCCTTGAAAAACAGGTCAGAAGGTTCCACGTTCTTAAACGTTTAATTACAACGAAAGTTTCAAGTAATTTTAACGTCGAAAAGATATCGTTCCTCCCAAGAAATATTTAACTTCCGCTGTATCTTATTGCCGTATCGTATTAGATTTCCAATTCCACAAATTCCAACTTTTTAAGTAATATCGCTTCGATGAAATCAATCTTAAAATAGTTCGATAAAATTAATCAAATCTTAAGAAGTTTAAATGCGTCATTTATGACATGATCAAGTCATATATATATATATATATACAGCTTTCGAAAGATTAAAAAAAAAAAAAAAAAAAAAAAAAAAAAAAAAGAATCGGAAGTCAGTCCAGTCTTTCAGCTTGATACAAGGGACTTCCTCTTTAACCGTTGAGAGAAGCAATAGAGTAGGCTTTCAATTATAAGAGCACTGATCAATTATTTCGTTTGTCCAACGAACTTACATCTCGTTGCTGACTAACATCCTGACCTACGAATATATACATTAATGTGTTTATCCCTTTAACAATATTCTTCTGTCTGTTTATTAAAAATTTTGTTTATTATTACTTGACAAAAAAATTATTCAATCGAAATACGTTTTCTAATCGTATCGCAAAATAATTTTCCCCTTGATCGAAAAGATTTTTCAAAAAATTACTTTAACATAATATCCACGAATATCCTTTTGCAAATCGATCGAAAATGCTCCACATTTTCGACGTCGAATAAGAGATAAAAGAGGTTGAGAAAATCCTTGGCAATAAGAGATAAAAAACTGTACACTTTTATCCCAACCAAACCTTTCCTCTTTTTTCTCTCCCCACTCCTCCCTCCCTCTTCCCGCAAATGGAATACAAGTATCCGTGTCGCGAAGCACGCGGCTCGTGCACTTGAACAGTTTCAGAAGGAGGGAAAGAGATCGCGGAGAGTATCGACGAACGAGTGCAACTTGTCTTATTTGGGTCATTGTATTTTTTGGCAACGTCGAGGCAAACATCAAACCTCTTCTCTATATACGTATAAGCGAGCACTGTTCTCCTCTACTCGTCCCTTCCCTGGGAAGGCTGGCAATCGCTCGGAAACGATCGTTCCGCGCTACCTCCTCCTTTACGCTTCTTTAAACCTGATCTCGTTGCCAATCCGACTTCGAGCCTCGTTCGTAAATCTATGTAATTGGGAACGGTTACGCTCATCCTCCGATCCATCTATCGTCGTCTATCGATACCGTCTCGCATTTCCTCTCATATTCCTTCTCTCGTTCCTTCGCCTCGAAATAATTTAATTTAATAATTAAATACCGTTGATCACGAAAACCACATATTATTGATATACGATAAAAAAATATATCTTCTCGTATCAATCCATTTTAATCATTTTAAATACAGGGATTTATATAGATAAAAATAAGGGATAATAAGATATAGAGAGGGAAAAGAAAAGGAAGAATATTTAATATTCTTATGGAAATTTCGATAATTGCGCGGAGGAAAAAAAAAAAAAAAAGAATCGTGGAATTTGTTAACGCGAAATATCGAAACAGCTGCAGCTTCTCTTTTCCTGTTAGTAGGTCGACGAACTTTTTGGCAACACGAGGCAAACCATTACGAATGTTGGAAGTATACTCCTACTTCCACTGGCCGATCTTCTTTCGATAAATCGCGAAAGAAATTAACCAGGGAACGAAATTCCTTCTCCTTCTCTGCGTTGTCTTAATTTTTTTCTCTCTCTCTCTTTCTCTTTTTTTTTTCTCTCTCTTTTTCTTGCTCGCTTTAGATTAGCATTTCTTAAAACATTTTATCTCAACAAAAGAATATATATATTTTTGCTACGAAGTAAAATTAATGTACAATGTGCAAGATCATGTTTTATTCGAGCAAGTAACCGGATATAATCAGCTTTATCTACGATTATCTAACGATATATGTATTCAAACGTTTCTTATTTTCGCATAAATAAATAAATAAACGATTTATCTCTTCTGCTCGACGGTGCGAAACAATCGCGATCCTTTGTAATAATAATTTGATAAAGAGAGTTCAAGGAAACGGCGATTAAAATTATTTTCTCATATACACGGTGTCGATATATTCTTTCCAATCCGATACTTAGAAAAAGTATTATTAAAACAAGCGCAAAATTTATTATCATTGTAAAAATATCGATTTATTTATTAATAACAAGGAAAACGAGGATGGATCTCGTTCTGCGCAAATTTAAAACGTTTGTAATCTAATAAAATAAGCAATTTCGATATTTTATTATACCACGCCAACTTTTACGCTTCTAAGTTTAAAATCGACTCAAACATGTTCCCACTGATACATTAACACCTTTCATAAGTAGAGTATAACGCAAGGAGATGATTTTAAAATCTCTACACGTATAAAGAAAAAAAAACAGTTACTTCTTCCATTTTCCAAATTCCAAATTTTCTACTTTCTACGGGTGATGAGGTATATTTCAAGGCAGAATAGAAAGAACGATCGGCAGTGAAACTCGAACGCGAAAATTTGAAAATGGTTTCGCGGGGGTGGGGCGACGAAAGGAGACAGTTTAGGTAGGGATGGGATCGATGCGCGGTTAAATCGTGCGAGGTCACCGATTCCGGCCAAGCGCGGGACCGCGGGAAAATTTATTTGGAAAACGTTATCGTTGGAAACAATCGATCGTGGAGTAGCCATGCGAATCGAAGCATAAATTTTATCTTCGATCATCGTAGAAAACGGAATTAGAAGACAGTTTTTTTTTTTTTTTTTAGAGGGTTAGTGGAATCGGATCGGCTTTCTCTTTTTTTTAAACATTGTGGATACATATTCTACGAAAGGAGAGAAATTGTATGAAAATATTGTTTTAGATTTGAAACTTTATTAAAAAGTTGCAAAGTTGGAGCGCAATTGCGAGAAATGTCTAAATACATGAAAAATATGAACAAGTACAAAGAACATTCAAGGTAAAATGCTCGTTACAACGTTTGGAGAATGGAACCGTATTTAGAACGTTAAAAAATGCATGTCATATAACAAGATCCGTGTCTTTATAACGATCAAAATTGACAAAATGTAAAAACTAGAAATGCCTGTATAAAAGATGCACAATCTACTCGAGTAACATATGTAATGGATTATCAACGTTCTCAGAAACTGGGCTAACATTCTCAACAAGCTGTAATGTAATTGGAAAAATACTTGGATCGAATAATACTTGGGATCGACATTGGATGCCAGAAAAAAAAAAAAAGAAAAAAGACGAGCTGTGGATGGATAAGAGGTCTGGGTTGGACGTTGTTCGAAAGCGAAACGCTATCAGAGAGAGAAAATTATTAGGCCATGCGGGAACGGGTGAGGAAAGTCGAAGTGAACTTGCCGTGATTCGATTATCTGTTCGAATCAGGACAATCGAAATGGGGCAGAAACGTGACAAGGACGGTCGCACAGGACGAGTCCATTTAAACGCGTCTGCACAAGCAACCAATATCGAGAATCGTATCGACGCGACGAATAATCGAGTCGTGTAACAACAACGAACGAATCAAAAAAAAAAAAACAAAAGAAATTAATAAAAAAAAAAAAAAAAGAAAAACTTCGTCCTTGGAACCACTTTGCCGAAGGGAAAAGGAGGAGGGAGGGAGGGGAGACAGGGTCGTGCGATGAAAAGGTCTACTTGATCAAGATCGCAAAGAGATACAAAGAGTCTGAAAAACCAGTAACGACAAGAATAAAAAAATAGAGGGTAAAAGTAAGAGACGACAAAGGGGGGAAAAAACGAAGAAAGCGAAGTAAGAAAACGAATTGTGAAACACTACCTGAACGCTGCCCAAGAAAATTTCGATAAACCGATACGAGATCCTCAAACACATCGGAAATCCTGCAGGAATCTACCGATGACGATTATCCATAGAAATCGGGCACAATGACGTCTCGAACGTCTCCCTTTCCTCCACTACCGGCCGCTCTCCTCCATCCGGAAATTCAATTCGAGCAAATGAACCTCATAAAAGTGTGCGTGCTTGCGTGCGTGTCTGTATATATATATGTATACATATAATATATATATACATATACGTATAACTCGTTACTTTGGGATAAAGCGATCCTAGGCTTGACAGACGGAAGAAAGTGGACGACGAACGTGGAAAACGGAGAAGCGATTTGGTCGGCGAGACGAGACGAGACAACTACCTCGAGTCGGGTGGAACAGCTGGCACAGGTGGCGAGAAGGACGCGACGCATAGCGTCGCGAGCCAGGGCAAGCGTGAACGGACGACGACGTCGAGACGCGGCTCGACGCCGGATACCACCACCGTCGCTCGACTCGAGCCGACTCGAGTCGACGCGGCGGCGGTGATTCTGGCGGCGGCCACGGCGGCAATGCCGCTCTCCTCGGGGATATACTGGCGGCGCGGTGGCGATAGCAACCGATATGCCAAAGGGGTGGCGGTACCGGCCGAGGGAAAAATGACTGGTGATTGGATACTGTGGTGGTGGTGATATTGGTGGTCGAGGGAAAATCGACGAAGATCGGGCCGACGGAGGTAAAAATGACGGTGACGAGGGTGGCGACGTTGGTGGATACGATACTGGTGAAGGATACTAACGATATTGATGATACCGATCGAGTCGAATGTATTAAGGAATATTGGCTGGATACCGAGAGCGACGATACCACGGTGAACGGCGAAGGACACGACGACGAACGTGTGGAATACGAATACGCGTATACGAATCGAAAGCGGGGAGGAAACGGGGGAAATTGGGTCACGGAGTCACCAGCCAGCCTCCGCATCGCACACCGGGATGCCAAGGATCCGAAGCAACCGCCCTGCACCATCTTCTCCTAATCCCGTTGCTGCGCGCACGATTTAATGGATTACGAATGGATTTTTCATTGCTCCTCTCCGAAACTGGCTGCGGAGGGGTAACCATTCGTTGCGTGGTGGAGGGGTGGAAATTTCACTCGTTGATTCGTTGCATCTGTGTTTTGACCGCTACGCAATGCGGTAAAGCGAATGTATAAAGGTAATGTAATTTTGGAAATTATTGGAAAAGGTGGATCGATGATTACGAAGAGTTTTTATCGAGACAATCCCTGAGGAATTCTCGATTAAATGTTAATTTTCTCGTATTAAAAACTTTTAAAAGCTGCTCACAGTTAGAATGTATACTTTCGTAACGAATAATGGGTTATAACGCGGTTCATCCAATCATAGGAAATCACACGATAATATAACAAATTATTTGAATAGCGTATGATTCCTCTAAATCATCTTCCAAGAAAACTTTCTATTTTCTTCACGCAACGTTAAGCCCGTAGAATAGCCGATTACTTTCATCACTATGCGACTATTCTCGCGTTGCCATAAGTGCTTATTTGCAACTAAGTAACATTGGATAATTTCCTATGAACGACGTTATTTTTCTATCCGGACGATACCCATACGTGCCGCAACTTCGTCCGAAATAAAAACTTGATCGAACATAAATTGGGTCGGGAGCTTGCTCAACTTTGTAATTCGAACTTAATGGAACTCGATTATTCATCGATACAGCGCTTCCTAATATCTCTAAAATATCTCACTTTTACAGCGATATCTAATATTTAACGTAACTTCAATCTAAATATTTCACTTTTTTTGATTGGAATAGATTTATAACTTCGATTTCCGATGATTCGTTTTATAAATTGAAAAGCTTATGAAGTTTTCGATAAAAATCGAAAAGTTACGAACAAAATTACTATTGCTCCTTTACATGATCACGTGACTATACGAAGCAATATGATTGGCATTCGAACACTCGATCATCAAGAAAGAAAACTGTTAGAAGTTTTGAGGTTAGAATTTACGAAAATATAATATCTTTCGAAATTAACACGGAAGATTAAATTAACTTAAATTTTCGATATTTTATCGTACGTGAACAAACGATAATCTCTAATCGATCCCAATTTCGAAAATCATTTCGAAAACAGATATCGCGTCGTACGTCAATCGTACCGTGCCGTAAAAGTAAGTTCGCCAATGCTAAAAGGAAAGAGGTGTACGTACATTGTGTGTATCATCGTTAATGCTAAAAGGCAACTGCCTTCCGCCTTTTTCACAAGGGCTTACAATAACGCCTGATGGAAATAATAGTTTCGAGCAAAAAGTGGGTCGTTCGAGTAACACATCCAATCAAACAATAATAATGCCAACCTTGGGGAATTAAACTAGGGCGGTGCCGGCGGCGCGAAGGAATTCGGGATATGAAAATTAGGACTCGGATACGACATCTAAAAGGTGAAAAAAAAGAACACGATCCAATCTTTTTCTCGATCCCGATTCCCTCGTTACATATTTTTACACTTCATTATCCATTCGATTTGCACCTACTTATCTCGAATAAACGCATTAATATCGATACGGTAGAACGGTTCTCCGTGTACACGTTCAGGGACGAGTAGAAGAGAAAATTCTCAATGATCAAAATGAACGAGCAAACAAAATTTAGAGAAATTAATTTCAATAATGGGATCAATGAGAATCTTCTTTCGCTTTTCTTTTTTTCTTTCTTTCTTTCTTCTTTTTTTTTTCCTTTTGAATACACGATTATTTTTCATTAAATATCTTTTCCAATCAAAGAGATGGGAAGAAGAATGGAAGCGGAGTGGAATGGAAGTATTCCACGTGTAATTTCGTCGCGTCAGAAGGATGCTTTCGGGATTCCGCGAGAAACCCTATCCGACCAAGTGATGAGTCACATGGCCTAAGTGCTAGGATTCAATCTGCGAAAGCTGCGTCGAAATGCGCCTCGAACCGCGCCCATCTTCGTTAGAACGACGTCTCGGAAAAAACTATATGATCATGCCTCCTCTCTCTCTCTTCCCTCCCTCCTCTCTCTCTTTCTTCCTTCCTTCCTTCTTTTTTTTTTTTTCTTTTTTCCTTTCCCTCCCTTCCTCCTTTTCTCGTCCCCGTGCTTTCGAATCAATAATCCTGAACAAGGACTAGCCTCTTTCTTTGATCGTAGGAATTCAAAGGCCACCCTTTTGTCTGCATTCCATGCTCCGGCAAAGAGTCGTATCCACAGAGTCGTTTCCATCCTCTTCCGTTTTATAACGCGATGACACGAATAAATGCATGACACGAGGTAAATAATATTCACGCATCGAAATCGTATTACGTATAGACAGATATCATCAACTGACCGACTGTTACCCTTAGTTTCTCAGAAACTAATATTTCTAAGATGAATAAATATATTCAAAAATTGATTTTACACGCGTAATTACCTCGCGTATTTTTTTTTCAAAATTCATCCCCTTTATGGTTTTATCGCACATCACAGTGACAGACATTTTACGAATGCGTAATGGGTAATAAGGGTGAAAGTCACCCTCGAGATCGTATCTTTCTTTCCAATTCTGCGTATACTATTCTTGTTTTCCTCGCTTCTCAGGAAAAAGAAAAGATTCGATTGGCCAAGGATGGAGCAAGGACTCGTCGTCGTTTCTCGAAACAATCCAAGAGATTGGCGATAAACCGACGTAAGTTTCCAGTTGCGTTCAACAACTGGCCGAGCTTCGCATTTTGCACCCTTTGCACAAAGTTTCTGTTTGCTTATACCGAACACGCCTCTCCCCCTCCTCTTCTCCCTCTTCTCCCTCCTTCCTTGGCAAACTTCATCTCGCTTCAACTCCGCTTCGTGGAACCTTGAAATTCTCTCTCTCTCTCTCTCTCTCTCTCTCTCTCTCTCTCCCTCCCCTCTCTCTCTCCCTCCCCTCCCCTCGTTTTTAATTTCGAGGAGGGAATCGTGATTTACGATTTATGATCAACGAAAATCTAAAAATACGTGGAAGCTGAACCTACAAGTATCCGGATACATCGATCATTTTTCAGTAAATGTGAATTTTAACATTCAAAAAGTGATGATGAAACCAGTCAATTCCATTTATTATTATTATTATTATTATTAAAAAGCAGATATTTTCGAAATGATTAATTGCTTTTTGAATAGAATATTTAATTATTGTGCGTGATTATATATTCATGAGGCTGTAATATTAATTCTAATCAACGTTAAAGTTGAAAAAAAAGAGGAAAAAGAATGCAGTGTTAGTTCATATTCATGAAACAATTTTCGATTCTAAATTTGCATTAGATGAGGATGGAAATAGAGCTGTCTCTGGTCTATCTCATTTCTAATATCCTTGTAACTTAATAAATAAATAAATCTCAACTGGCATCTTTATGCTTGTTTAACCTTGTACATCACGTGTGTGTGCAAATATTATATTTTTCAAAAAGAAGAAAAAAAAACTATCATCCTCGATAAATTTATTTGGAAAAAAAAAAAAAAAAATAATTGCGACGAAATTTCGACTCCGTTAATTATTTTTTACATCTTCTGGATGAATTCATTTTAATCGAAACGTAAAAAAATCCATGAAAAATCGATTTTTTTATTTCAACTCGACTCGAACTCTTCTTTCCCTCCAAACAATATATCTTTTTTATCTTCTTTCAGCTTTTAGACCAACCAGAATGCTGGTTCACCAGATCCAAGATCTCGCAAGAAAAGTTCTATTTCTGGTTCGAACATAAAATTTCGCACACCATTATTTACGTCTACTCTTCTTCTCTTCCGATCACCGCGAACGATTGGAATATCCTGTCAAGCGTGAAAACCCATCCCCGCCAATATATTTTACTCGTTGTTACTAACAACGACCAACCAAAGCGGAATAAACACGAACGTGTGCACGCGCGCGTGCTACTCTGACAATGGGGGAATATCCCCGTTGTAAAATAATTCTATTGCCGTGGATCCGTTTCGATGAAAAGGATCGTCAATCATTCCATTAATCGATCCAACTAGGGTTAGATTAGTTGGAGAAAGAGTCCACGATTCTTCTTCGCCCTCTTCGATTCGCATTGCGATCGAATTGCGATTAATTTGACGTAACACAAATTCGAAGAATTGAAATGGATCGGAAAAATTCGTAAGGAAATAAAATTAATCGTTGAACCGTCTCTTCTGTGAATTTTCATTAATCAAACTTTGAAAAAACCTTTGGAAAAAATTCGTGAAGAAGTTGTGATAAATTTTTACTTTACTTATCCTGAATAATTTATAAGTTTCGAATGATTTAGAATTAGAAGAAGAAACATTCAAGTTTTATTTTACGCTCTCAATTATCTTTTTGTTTTACGTAAATAAATAATAAATTGAAGATAATTGCATTTATGGATCAACTCTTTTTTTTTCAACTTGTAAATCGGGTGAGTTGAAATTAGAGTTTTTTGCGCTCCTTTTGCATATTCAATTCTCCTCCGTTTATTTGTTTTTATCATTTCTTGCCAGAGAAGAGAAAAAGATGTGGCGACAGAAGACAGGTGACGAACAAAAAAGGAAACGTTACAGAGAAGGGAGACTTTGCCCCTACTACGTCATTGACGAAGATACGTAACACGATTAGCTATAAGGAAAAACTAGTCCAACGAATACCGTATTCCTTATTAGAGAACGTCCATGCAACTTTTCCTTTCTTCAACTTCGTCGTTGGCATACGAACGAGTGATCGACACGTTATCTTGTTATTGATTAAAAAATTTCAAGTGTCTCTTAATTATTATCAATTTCGAAATTTTATCTCTCGTTGTCATTACATTATAATTATAATATCATCGATTCAGAGATTTTCCACGGTCGTACGAAATTTTATTATTTGGAAAACCATTGAAATCAAATGTTGAACTATGCGAAAAATTTCGAATAAAGATACACGTATATAAAAATAAAACGTAAAAATTTTTCCACGCGACGAGAAAACGAGAAATTCAATTGACCAAAAAAACATACTAATAAACAACATCTCGTCGTTTTACTTAAGTTTTAATCTTATATGAAAAATCTTATATTCCTATCTCCTCTAAATAATCGAAAAATTACACTCGTTTCATTGACTTGTTTATTTATTTTTATTAATTATTATTATTATTATTAATTAATATTATACGTTATTATTATTAATTAAATTAGATCTCATTCCATTCGATTCATAAACATAATGAAACAAGGTTTTTAACGGATATAATAAGGTTTAATTAATAGAACCGCGTGTCGCGCACATTCGATGCAAACGCGTGAACTTGGTTGAAACGTAGCCAGCCTCTGGCTCCCGTTAAAATAACAAGTATGCAGAGGAGTTTCAGCATCGAGGCAGCAAGAAACCAGCCGACATATGTATGTATTCGTCCGGATAGAGAAGCGGTCGTTGATGAAGAGGAAAAAGAGAAAAAAAGAAAAAAGAAGGAAGAAAGAAAGGAAGAGAGAAAGAAAGAAAAAAAGAACGTCTGCAAAAGAAAACACCGAGTGTACAGAGCAGATGAACGCGTTCCACAGCTTAACTCTCTGGTAAATTAATTTTATCAAGGCGTACCATGTGGAACGGTCGTTGGTTAAATAATTGGCGGTCAATTAAATAAAATAAATTTGCGCTAAATTCTATTAACATTTAGTTTACACAAATGGTATAAGAATATAAATAATAATCTTCACAATTAAATTCATTCGTTTATATTTCGAATATAATTTTAATTTTTCTACTGCAATTTAAGATGGTAAAAATAACGTGTTATTTATTGTTTCCTTTGCTTTTCTTTCTTTACGCGTCAATACGTACGCTCGAGCAATAAAAAAAAAAAAAAAAAAAAAAGAAAGAAAAATTTATCGGTTAACGAGCGAAAAAGTGTGATTTAACGTCAAGTCGAATTAAATTCCAATTTAACAGTCGTTTTAATCATTAAACTTTTCTACGCGTTTCGCTCTTTCGCCACGGTTGACAATTTTACAACTGGCAAATTACCACCACACGAATAGACGAATTTTGATTAAAAATCCGATCGCTTTCACCGTGACTCATCATCTTTCTCCGATCTTTCTCCGATCTTCACTTTATCTTTCATTCAGAGACGAATTTTCAATGAATCACGCACCATGCGTCTCCGATAATTCCTCCACGAAGAAATTTTTTTATAATAATAAATCCGATCTTATCGTAGAACAGATACGATACGATGGAAAAACTATTTTATTTTCTCGAATTTCACGTGAATTTTTATTCCATTCCCGATATCTAAATACTTGAAATACATGTGATATACGTTAAGATGTTTAAATCAATGATTTAAAAACCACTTCAACGTTAGAGAATCGAAGAAGATTAAAATTCTACGCGATAAGAAGTGTAAACACCGTATCTTCCAATCTTCCAAAAATGATAAAACACAAATTTCTATTCGAACATCATTAAAAGAAAGAAAGAAAAAAAAAAAAAAAGATATACATTTGCATGATTAAATCAACGAAACGATAAATCTATCGTAAGATCAATCTTCTAATTATTTCCACGACAAGACTGTTGTGTGGTGTAGCCACAGGGGAGCCTAGGTGTGAATAACAGCTGACAAGTCTGTGAAGGGATCTCCGATGGATTCCTCTTCTTTTTCTCTTTTTCTCACTCCCTCGCGAGGCAACTTAATTTGCGTCGCCAGTCGAAGGGTTAACGCTTCGGCCCAGGGAAATGGAAGGCTTCCGCCGAGGTGGTGTTCCAGAGGAGGATGTTGGTTACGCACGTCCCCGTGTTATAACGTCTACACTTACGTATACACGCCGGCAAAAGCTCTTATCGATTTGCTCTCACGCCACCGAGATGGACGAACGAGAGAGAGACCGGAGCGAAATAGAAGCAACTTCCGCATTCTCCCGCGGAGAACCGACTTTACACAGGGTGTTGATAAATTCACGGGATATTTTTGATTCTAGATATCGAAGGAGAAGAGGGGAAATTGTACAAAATGTACAGAAATTAAGAAATTGGATGAAATAGGAACAGCCTATAAGAATGAGGTGTTGTCACATTGCATGCAATTTATAATATAATAAGCTTTAACCGGTATTTTTATATCGCAATTTTTATCTTCTCGTTATTTCATGAATATGCAGAAGAATCTTTAGTACGAGGCCAAAAAGTTTGAGCGAGACCATCTTCTATCGAGGGGAAAAGGAGATGGAAGAGGAGAGGGGAAAAAAAGAAAAAGGTAAAAAATGATAGAGAAAGCTGGAAATCCGTTGTCTCCGTTGAATAACCGCTTTTATTTGCTTGGTTGGCACATTGGGAGCTATCGAGCAGCTTTATGAAACATTTCTACTATTTCCTGCCTGGCCGTCGAGTATGGTAAAGTATCGTGGTATCATCGTACGAGTAAAGAACGAGCGGAAATAACGAGGAACGTAATAGACAGGATTCAACCTCGAACCTCACTAAGGGATGAAAAGTGACCCGTATTAGAAGTAGATCGAAATACGCGTATGTGTAATTTAATAATAAATAAATGAATCGTGTCGAAAATGACAAATTGCGAGTGTTATTGTTATTTCGTTTCACGAATGGCGAGTATTCGAAAGGGGGGAAAAAAATCTTTGAAAAGAGGATGTTGAAACGAGTCACTCTGCGTATCGTGACTGGAAGAAATTGTATCCTCCGTAAAAAGAGAAAGTAAATGGAATCGGGGAGAAAGCTGAATGAAGAAATAATTTGAAGAGAGAGAGAGAGAGAGAGAGAGAGAGAGAGAGAAAAGAAGAAGAAAAAAAAAAGGAAGAAGATTTAATATTAAAGTCGTAAGAGTCGGAAGACGCGTCGATATGCGGTTTCCGACCTATACCAAGCGAGGGTCGCGTGTGTAATTAACAGAAAGCTGAGTCTGATATCATCGAGATGTAAAACGAGAATGAAAGGAAGATCAAGGTAAATGTTTCTCACCTTTCTGCGTGAGCGGTAATAAATATACGATTGTAGAGAAAAAACTGAAAACGTCTTACGTTCAGATTGTTATCGCGCTATAACCACGCTATAAACAAGAGTTGATCTTACGATCATACGTGCAAACATAATCGCAAACTGTGAGTAAATATAGATGTGACTAAGTAAATTTTTATCGCATAAGAATAATAAGGAAGATCAATTTCCATCGAGAAGGGAAAAAAATCATCGTGCTAATTTGCTAATTATTTGAGAAAATTATTGGATTGATCGAATTATGATAATCGAATTATAAATTATGATTTCAACGGATATATCGCAAACAATTATTTCTTATATGTTTCTTTTTAATCAATATTTAGCAATATACCGTTCTATCGTCGTCGAAACAATAATTATTATCTAATCCTGACTCATTTTTCCAGGAAATCATTTCGTTATACTTTTATAAAATTTCACTACCTAATGCATGCTCCCATAATTTTATTTTTACGACATTCTCTCTCTCTCTCTCTCTCTCTCTCTCTCTCTCTCTCTCTTTCGTTTAACAGCGTAAAGAAAATAATCGAAAAATAAGATATATAAGGAAAGAAATTAATTTACTCACTTTTGCAGTTTGAGGCTCGATATCGGTGAGTCGTTGCGCACGGGGCCTCTCTTGTGCCGGTCCTGGCATCCTTTGCAACCTCTCCGTGGACGAGGACGAGGAGGATGAGGATCCAGGCCTTTGGCCTGGTTTGCCACGCGCCAGGATGACGGCAGGATTTTACTTTCCTCTCGATTGAACCATTATTCCTCTTTCACGTTCTTCTGCGCAAACAATTTCCGTTGGATACTCAGACGTCTTTATAGCCATACGTTTATTATAGCGGACGAAATATAAACTCGCGTATATATACATGTACATACGGATATATCATAGCGGCTAACAACCGTGGATACTCGTAAATTTCACTCGAATCAACTTATACTCGGGTCGTATCGACGCCTTCTTCGAACATTAACTCGTGTTTCTTCTCGCGCGAGACATTAAAGATCCAAAATAAGAATTAAATTATTATTGATGAACGAAGAAAAAATGATCCGCGAGATATTTCTTTCAATAATAAAAAGACAATGAAAGGGAAAAATTTAGATTCGTTTGCCATTTTGTAATTATTTCAGAATCTCGATTCAAATTTTATCGAATTTTAAATATTTTGTGGAATTTTGAATGAATATATCTAAAGAAGATGAAACTTCCATTAATTATCTTT